AAAATTTGGGCTCACGTCGATATGTGCCTAAGGACAGTACCGATACGACGTAGTACGTAGCCGGCCGGGATCCCCGTGATCACGGACTGAAGTCGAAATCCGTCTGCCATGCTCGAGCTCGTCATCTCGATCAGCTTTAGACTTACTTTCAGCGACGTACTGCTGTGTCCTATAGCAAGCATGAGTCTTCCCCAGTCTTCACCTAGTCACGTCTTCTCCAGCTCTCTCCCTCTCATGAGCAGGATCGTCTTCCGGCATTGGTCCTTCTATGATCATCCATACTACCATGATTCAACCCCGAAGCTATCTCTTGACTTTTCAACTGGCAATCAATAGGTGGTTGCGTGCGTCTGCATGGTCCTATCGTCGTGTACAGCATCCCTCTCTTCTACATAGTTGTTCAAGAGAGATTTATGGCTAAGCTGTTTGGATTTCCATCATAATTGATCTCTGGAATTAATTAAAATAAATAAAGTAAAAGCACATCCTCAGAGCCGTCTGGAACGTCGATGAGTAACATTGACACAGAATATAGAATGTCTTGGAGACTTAACATTGTATCATATCCCCCTGCCCCATACTATAGCAAGGCAAAATTAAAAGACTGAACCCAAAACTCTCCCCAGAGTGGGGGGGAGGGGGGAGGGGAGAGGATGGGGGGTGCTTCCCTCTCTGCGTCCCAAACAAAGTGTCACAAAGAGCTCGGCCCGCGGCAGCAGCGGAGGCGGCTGTAACTCAGCTTTTGTTCTCCCAGCCCGGGTAGAGGAGCGCAGGCTTCCCTATCTCCCAACCCTGTCCCCCATCTTCCGTGCAGCTTATCTGCCCCGGGAGGGGTCTGGGGTGCTGCCGGGAGGACCTCTCACGGGGGATCACAGGTCCTATCCTACTTGCCAACCGATTTCTCTTGGTGGGGGGGTGTTCCCATGGGCCTTCTTGCCCTCCCTCCGCCTCCCCCGCCCTCCTTCTGAAGAGCGAGGCTTCTGTGGGTGCCATGACTGGACTTTTTTCTAGGGTCAGCTCCAGTTCTGGGGGCTTAGGACCGTCTGCGTGCCCCCTCCCCCAAACCCAGGTCCTCCCGGAACTTTCGGAGGCGGGGTCGAGTCAGGACATGCCTCTGGGGCGAGATTCACCACTGTGGGGTTGGCAGCAGGTGTTCCTTCCTCCAGCCTCCTGCTGTGCATTTGGGGCCCATGGCTGGGGGTCTCCGCCCCCTGCTTCAGGCTGTGAGGATGGAGGGGAGAAGGCTTTACCGGGAACTTATTCTCAAAGGTGGGCAAGCTGCATAGTGGGGTGGGCTTAGCTGTCTGAATAGCGAGATCCGAGTGCCTTGGACAGGAAACCATAAAAGTGAGCTGCTGGCAGCTCTGTGTGGTCAAGGTGGTCCCCACTGGGGACCACCGAAGATGATGCCTTTCCTTTTAACCCCGTCTAGTTCAGGGGTAATCATAATTGTTGCCAGACCCAGGAGGTGTGTAGGGTTCTCAGCAGAGGGGAAAATGCCAAGTCCGCAGAGATGGCCATGGACAGAGGCCCAGTTACAGTTTGAACCCAGGGGTCCTGAACCTTTGACGGTCAAAGCCGTGAGGGACAGCCTTTGTGGTCCTCTGTTTTGCAGATGCTTCTGTGTACTTGTCCTTGTTTCTGTGTCTTTTTCCCCAGCTATTGCATCATTGCCTGCACAGTAAGGGTACATGGTGCACACGCGCCTCCCCACCAGTGGGTCCTAGCATGGGACAGTCCTTGGCCTGTTGCTTTGGAAAGATTTCTGCTCCCTATCCCTGGCCCTGCAGCCCTATAGAATCCAAATAAGGGCAAGATAACCCCTGATGCCCAGTGGGGGTGGAAAGTAGGTCAGTGCTACTGTCTGGCCAAGTCTCGTGGATGGTGTTTAAGGCCTGACAATAGAGAGCTGAGAGTGGTGTCCACAGGCAGTGCACACACGATCATGCCGGCTCCCAGAATCCCGTCCCTGTGAGCCCCTGCCCTCTACTGAGAAGAGCCCACGGGCTCAGGTACGTGGCACCTGGTCTGCCGTGGAGATGATTGATGCAGGACTCCTGGCTGGGCCTGGCAGGGCCTCTTAGGGAGGCTGGTCTTGAGCCATCTTCTGGGAAGCTCCCTGCTAGGGAGTACAGCCCCAGCTCCGGCCTTCTCTGTAGCACTGTATTTCCATCCCGGAAACTACTCTGCAGAGCAAGGTTTTCGGTGGTTGTGTTTTGACGGAGGAAGCTGCGCCCCATTCCTGCTTGTCTGGCCTCCGATACGAGGTGTTTTGCTTGCTCTCTTCCAGGCGGTTTTCAGGGCCCTGGAATCGTCCTAGAATCTGAGTATGTGCCATAGGTTAGTCAGCTATGACCATGCAGTATTCCCAGCCTCCCCCTCCCCACGGCCATCTGCTTCCTCTGAATACACCAGATTGGCTGTACACCAGGATGTTCCGGGAGTCCCCAGGAGAGCAGCAGAATGTGACGGACCCACATTCGCCGCCTCAGTGCTCATTCCAGGATGCACAGACTGTCGCTGTCAGGACACTGCTTATAGCTAACTAAAATTCTTCAGTTACATCTATTTTCTATTACCTCTGTCTTTTCTCAGTGACATTCAAAAGGCCAAAATAATCCCTCTGGTACTACTGAATTTTTTTTCCCGTATGGTTCTCAGATAGGGATTTAAGAAGAACAGAGAAAAAGAAGAAATCCTCTAGCTTTTTTTTTTTTTCTTCCCCCAATGTTCGTGGTGCTAAAATGGCAAACATGGTCCCTCTAGGACTTCATCACTCTATCTATGGTACTGAGGTGGCCAAAGTGGCTTGTTTGGTAGCCCACTGCACTCTCCATGGTACTGAAGGGGATGGCCATTTGTTTTAACGTCTCTCTAGGTCCCGAGGAGTCCTGTGACTTAGAACCACAGAACTTTCCAGCTCGAAGGGAACTGTCCGCATAAACTGGCCCAGCCCCCTTTGTTTCGCAGAAGAGTGATCTGGGAGGTTAAATGATTTACTCCAGGTTGTAGGGCTATTAGTGGTCGGACTCGGCCCACGGTCGCCTTGTACCCCTCAGTCCTGTTCTCACTCAGTGAGCCTGTCCAGTGGGTCCTGCCAGGCCCTTGGTCCCAGGAGAGGGGCTGATTTGGAGGATGCAGGGGATGAGGGCAGGTGCCCTAATTTGGAGCTCCAGAATTACACATATTAAGAGGTGGTAGAGGTCATTTAGTGACCTTTGGGTAAGGACACTTTCTTAATCCCCTGTTAATCATACTCCCATAACCCAGATTCACACGGAGCAGCACCCTGTCCCTTCACGGCGCCTTACCATACCCACTGTGTGTCAAAGTTAGATGCCTCGAACTCTGGAGTCTTCTCTCTCTGCCGAGAGGCAGGGCTGACTCCTGGCCCAGTTCTCCTCTACTAAAGATCCCTAAGCAAAGGAAGACTGGAGTCCTATTCTCTCTCAGTAACTCGTTTCAGTCTCCTAATGCCTGTTGCAAGGAAGTTCTTTATACCTGCCACAGTCTGTGCTAGGCAGAGAAATAGGCTAGGCCCACGGCCCTGGAGCCTTGGGCAGAGACAGCACCACGTGAGGGCAAGAAGGTAGACTGGACGGTTTCTGGGCCTGCTTCCCTAACTCTTCATTTCTGGGGTTGCCCTGAAGTCCTAGGGCTACTCACTTACCTCGCCTGCGGCTTAGCACCCGCACCCCCACCCCCACCCCCATCTTCCTCTTCAGTGCGCTCCTTCCCCAGCCCGGGAGCTCTGCACAGCCCGGGCCTGGGGAATTTTAGCCTGGAGAATTTTAACCCCTTCCTGCTCCGAGCATGTGCTGAGCCCCTATCTGTGCAGATGGCCCGGCCCCGCCCCCCGGCCCTCACTCCAGCCTCTTGAGCTCCGAGCCAGTGTAATCCTCCTCTTGTGTGTGTGAGGGAGCCTCTCCCCTGCCGAGAGGAGGGAAGCCTGCTTCAAACTGCCTGGACAAAGGGGCAGAGATGCCCCAGCAAACCCCAGGCGCCCAGGCTGGAGACGAGGGGAAGAATCCTCTGTGGTGTCGGCAGGTTTAACCCCTTCCAGAGGCTGGCAGTGCCCCTTAACTTCCACTCCTCCCCCAACTCCCCCCTCCTCCCTTCTCCCTCCGGCTCGCTCTCCCCCTTCACGCCCCTCCCCCTCTGTCTGTCTCCAGACTCTCCGCTGCTGGGAGGTGTTTCTCTCCCATGCATGAATGAGTCTCTGTAATGAATGGAAATGAATGGATCAGGAATCCAGGCGGAGGGAGGGAGGATGAGGGAGAAAGACAGAAAGACAGGGTAAGGGCAGAAGGGAGGACTGTGGAAGCTGCAACGTGTGGCTCTCCACTCAGGTTTCTGGGCGCTCCAGAGCGCGGCAAGCCCACCCCATGTGCGTGACTGGTGCCCAGCCCTACCCAAAGGGGAGGGGACAGGTATCCTGTGATGGCCTCCCCCACCGCCAGGGGGTGGGCTGCTGCTGCTGGTGCTGCCGGCCAGGCCTTTAAAAACGTCTCAACTGGGGAAAGAAATCTGGGTTATCAAAGAGCCCCGAGGGCCTGGCAAACCCAGGGGGCAGTTGTGAGGACGCCGCTGCCCCCACCCCGCGTGCGCCCCCCCCCCCTGCATCAAGATGCCGGAAGGGGGGAGGGATGGGTTTGGTGCCTGCAAGGTGCAGAGACGCTAGGGTTGGGGCTAACTCGCTGCACCGTGCAAATCAGGGCTCATCTTTTCCTCCCAATCTGTTTCTCTCGCTTTAGCTCCTCAGCACCTGTTGCCTTCATTAGCAGCTTTTCCTCCTCTTCCCTGCACTCCCCAGAACCAAAGAATGTGAAGGGGGTCCATGGAGGTGAGTGATGCCCCGGCCTGAATCTGCAGGTGCCCCTGCTACTCCCCTCTCTCCTGCCCGAATCACCCTCCCGGTGTCCTTCCTGGCCCCCGGGGCCCAATTCCCACCCATCCCCTAACTTGGTGAGTTGCGTGGTGCTCGGTTCAGGCCCCAGCCCACTCCGCCCTCCCCCGTGCCTTTGCTTCCCTAGCGCTCTACACGCATCTTTCCCTCCAGGGCTCACGTCCCCGCGCCCCAGGCGGCCACTTAGCGCCGTCACCACCAGCCTTCGAAGGCGAGCTGGATCTGCAGCGCTACTCAAACGGGCCAGGCGTGAGCGCGGGGTCGCCCGGGATGGGAGCGGTGGGCTGGTCTGAAAGTCGTGCGGGCGAACGGCGCTTCCCTTGCCCTGTGTGTGGAAAGCGCTTCCGCTTCAACTCCATCCTGGCTTTGCACCTGCGGGCGCACCCAGGCGCCCAGGCCTTCCAGTGCCCGCACTGCGGTCACCGCGCGGCACAGCGGGCTCTGTTGCGCTCGCATCTGCGCACGCACCAGCCCGAGCGCCCACGCAGCCCCGCCGCACGCCTGTTGATGGAATTGGAGGAGCGCGCGCTGCTGCGCGAGGCCCGGCAGGGGAGAGCCCGCAGCTCAGGGGCCGTGCAGGCCGCTCCTACCGCTGAGGGTCTGGCGCGGCCTCAGGGCCCGTCGCCATCCGCCTTCCGTTGCCCCTTCTGCAAAGGCAAGTTTCGCACCTCTGCGGAGCGGGAACGCCACCTGCACATCTTGCACAGGCCTTGGAAGTGTGGCCTGTGCAGTTTCGGTTCCAGCCACGAGGAGGAGCTGCTGCACCACAGCCTGACAGCCCACGGCGCTCCGGAGCGCCCCCTGGCGGCCACCTCCGCTGCACCCCAGCCTCAACCTCCGCCCCAGCCCGAACCCAGATCTGTGCCGGAGCCAGAGCCCGAGCCCGAACGCGAGGCCACTCCGGCTCCTGTTCCTGCTGCTCCTGAGGAGCCGCCCGCGCCTCCAGAGTTCCGCTGCCAGGTGTGCGGCCAGAGCTTTACACAGTCCTGGTTTCTCAAGGGGCACATGCGCAAGCACAAGGCCTCATTCGACCACGCGTGTCCCGTGTGTGGCCGCTGCTTCAAGGAGCCCTGGTTCCTTAAGAACCACATGAAGGTGCACGCCAGCAAGCTGGGCCCTCTGCGTGCCCCGGGGCCTGGCTCGGCGCCTGCCCGCGCCCCCCAGCCTCCTGACCTGGGCCTGCTGGCCTATGAGCCGCTGGGCCCTGCACTGCTCTTGGCCCCGGCGCCTACCCCGGCCGAACGCCGTGAGCCCCCAAGCCTCTTGGGCTACTTGAGCCTGCGTGCCGGCGAGGCCCGGCCCAACGGTGAAGGCGCTGAACCTGGGGCCAGCCGCAGCTTCGGTGGCTTCCGCCCGCTGCCCTCTGCTCTCCCGGCCCGAGCTCGCCGGCACCGTGCGGAAGAGCAGGAAGAGGAGGAGGAGGTGGTGGAGACCGAGGAGGAAACCTGGGCCCGGGGCAGGTCGCTGGCCCCTCTGGCTTCTGTGCACCCGCGTGCGGGCGAGGGGCCGGGGCACTCCGCACCTGCCGCGGGCACGCAGGCGAGACCGACGGGCACGCAGGGTATGTGGGACCCTCCTCTCTTGAAGCGCTGGATAAAAAACAACCACCATGGCCCCTCCCCACCCCCAGCCCGCTCCCTTTTCTTCCCTGAGCCTTGCCGCCCTCTGAGAGCACTAAACTCCCAAATGAGACAAACCCAGCTCCTTGGGAGTCCCAAGCCTGGTTCCAGCTGGGCGCGAGGGGCAGCGAGCCTGCGGGGTGAGCCTGAGGGCGCGCGACCAAGCGCCCCCCTGACTTGCCCCGCTCCCCTGCGCCACCGCGTGTCTTGCAGAGGAAAACGGGCTGTTGGTTGGAGGGACCCGGCCTGAAGGGGGCCGGGGGGCCACCGGCAAGGATTGTCCCTTCTGCGGAAAGTCTTTCCGCTCGGCGCATCACCTCAAGGTGCATCTGCGAGTGCACACAGGTGAGTGCTGGGAGCCCCTGCAGTGGGTAGAGGAACACAGCACAGGAGGAATTGTGGAGGGGCTGCGCACCCTTCTTAGGGTGGGGGCGGGCAGGCAGAGGCAGTGCCTCGAGCTGGTTGCGGGGATGAAGTCTGCAAATTGAGAAGGCAGTGAGCGCACACACTTATCGTGTCTCCCCCCCCCCCCACCAGGTGAGCGCCCCTACAAGTGTCCGCACTGTGACTACGCGGGCACCCAGTCGGGCTCGCTCAAGTATCACCTGCAGCGCCACCACCGGGAGCAGAGGAGCGGGGCAGGCCCCGGGCCACCCCCGGAGCCGCCGCCCCCTTCCCAGCGGGGTTCGGCCCCACCATCTGGAACCAAGCAGGCGCAGCAGCCTTCGACCTGGGTGGAGGGCGCCGCAAGTCCCCGGCCTCCGAGCGGTCCCGGGCCCGGGTCCCGTCGGAAGCCCGCCAGCCCCGGGAGGACCCTGCGCAACGGGCGAGGCGGTGAGGCCGAACCCCTGGACCTGTCCCTGCGGGCGGGGCCGGGGAGCGAGGCCGGGCCGGGGGGCGCCCTCCACCGCTGCCTCTTCTGCCCCTTTGCCACTGGAGCCGCTGAGCTCATGGCCTTGCACCTGCAGGTGCACCACAGCCGCCGGGCCCGCGGCCGCCGGCCGCCCCAGGCGGACGCGTCTCCACCCTATGCCCGTGCGCCCTCAGGAGAGACCCCTCCAAGCCCCCCGCTGGAGGGGGAGGAGGGCCCCGGGCTGTCGAGGTCCGGAGAGGCAGGGCTGGGGGGACAAGAGCGGTAGGGAGCCCTCGTAGGGGTGAGTAGCAGTAGTGAGCTCACCCCGCGGGAGCGGGGGAGCGCTAGAGGTAGTTGGGTAGAGCAGCCAGCAGGGGGCAGCGTGGGACCCATATCCCAGCCCCAGGCGGACCGGAGGTGGAGGGGGCAGCGGGCAGAGGAGGGTGGGCAGGCTGAACCCATCCAGCCCAGGGGAGTCACAGTGCCTTAGACGTGGCAGAGGTGAGGGTCAAAGAACGGGGTCCCAGGACAGGCAGAGAAGGGCGTGTCCCTGGCGAGGCGCCGCTCTGCCAGTCTTTGCTGGTCCATAGGCGTGAGAGTCTATTTTTGTATAAGGGTTGGGGGTGGGGGGCACTGTACCCTTCTAGCCCCGGCGGGGCCGTGTAGACGTTGCTATTTTTGGTACGATTCCTGTCATCCCTGTCTCAGAGTCGTGTCCCCAATAAACAGGTGTCTTGAGGCACAGAGCCCTGTGTCTGCCTCTGTGCTGGCCCCTACCCCCATCTCTGGGCCCCTCTGTCCATGAAGTAGTCAAGAGCTTGTTAAGAGATGCAGGATCTTGGCCTGTACCCTAGGCTTGGGACTCAGTAGCTCTAGGTGAGACCCAAGAATGAACACTTAATGAGGAGCCTACGCGGTTCTCATGCACTGTGGCCTGAGGCCCTCATTTGGAAAACTGCTGGATGAGCTGGTGCCACCCCCCCCACCCCCCCAGTTCGTGGTCAGCCTGCAGCTGTGGGTGCAGGTGGGAGGAGAAGCTTTGTGGAGGGCTTTGGGCCCTGGGAGCTACTGTAGAGGAGGCACATTCTCCCTGGCAGGTGCATGGGCTTTAGTCCAGTGAGGGGTAGGGGGCCTTTTGTCTTGTGTTCCAGTTAGCGGCTGGGGGACAGGAAGTGCCCATGTTAGGCCTGTCACCTTCATCAGGAGGACAGATCTGACTCCTGGAGGCAAAGTGAGTAAATACATTTAATGTCACAACAGTATCATAATAATAGTAATTACATATATAAAGTCTGCCAGTCCCACCCCACCCTCCTATAATGGTTTGCATAGCTCCATGTCCTGTGACTCCCCAGAATGGAGTCAGCAGGAACTCCAGGTGATTGGCAGATGTGAGTTCCCATGGGTAAGAGAACACAGGCCGGCCGGGGAGCAGTGTCCTGGGGGTATGTAGCGTCCTGATACCATCCCAGCTCCAGGGTATGAAGGCAAGCAGGTGTGGTCACTCTGGTTGCTGCGGGAGAAGGCACTGAGCTGGGAGAGCTAGAGGCAGCGTGGCAGGGGAAAGCAGTGGTCCACAGGCCTCCTCTCTGTCCCGAAGCACAGGGAAGGAACCGTGTGCTCTTCCAGCCCTCCCTCGGGTCCCACCGCCTTCCTGGCCCACAGTGTGCCGAGAGCAGGGGCTGCAGGCAGGCTCTGGACATCTCTAGAAGCCAGGAGAGAAGAGGGAGGTGTGTTGGGTGAGGGAAGCAGCTGAGTCCCTAGCAGCTAGGGAGGGGGCAGGAGGAGGAGGAAGCAGTGTTGAATATGGTGGTGGTGGGGGCTCAATGGTGGCTCACCCAAGTCACAGAGGCGTGGTGGGGTCGCTCAGGGCTCGGGCGTGACTCTGAGGGAGAGAAAATGTGGATTTGGACCTGTTCTCTTCCACTGCCTTCCCTCTTCCCCTGCAGTTGCTGAATTTTGCTAACCCAAGTCCAAGCCCAAGTCTTGGGCATTCTCCTCTCTCCATCTGCTCCAGCACCATGCTCCCTACTGAAGATTTCTTTTCTCCTCTGGCCTTGATGCCTGTCATCCAGGGCTGGGGGACAGGAAAAAGGCACATGGAACACTAAGTCCAGTCTAGCCTTGGCTGGGAGCAGATGGCTGGTTCCTTCCCCTCGTCCCCTGCACCCTCCACCCCTGCTTGAATCTTCAGAAAAGCCCACCCAGACAGTGACCAAAGTGATCAGCCATTCCCAGCCTTATTGCAGGAACCTACCTGCCGGGATAGCCCTAAGATCCCGCCACTGGCCAGGGTGGGAGTGCTGCTCCCGGGGTGGGGGGGTTGCAGGCCGGGGCTGTTCCTTGGTCCTGGGGACACATCTCCGGAAGAGTCAAGTGTTTCTGGGGCTGGAGGGGAAGCTAGGGTGAGAGCAGGGTATAGGATGCCTCCAGATTACCTTAAGCACCAAGCTGCTCCATCAGGGAAGAAAAAGCTCCATAGCAACAGGAAGCTGTGAGTCACCATAGCAATCCGGTTGCAAGAGAACCCCCCTACCAAGAGGCAGGAAACTGTCAGCAGCATCATAAGAGCAACCAGGGAAGAAGCGACAGGAAACTACAAGGGTTGCCGTGGTGAGCCAGGAGGGTACACCGGGAAGCTGAGGCAGTTTCCATAGAAACCCAAGGAGCGCTAGAGAGAAAGGTACAGAGGAAGTGCTTCTTAGCAACAGGCCGCTGTAAGCATCGCCCTAGCAACCAGATGGGAGGCTCTTTTAGCAGTGGGGGAACGGTCCCTAGTTGTCATGGCAACTGGGCTACTTGGCTAGAAAAAGGAGTCGCTCGGCAGCAAGCAGCCTGAACATCACATGATGACCCAGCTGTTGGGATCTACCCCTGGAGAGGGGCCTCACCCAGGGAAATTTGCTTGACGTCCAGATCCCAGGCCTCCTCCTCGACGCGGGCGGGCAGGGAGCAGGCTCCCGGCGAGAGGCCGGGGAGGGAGGGGCCGGCATGCTCAAAGGATGACACGGCCACGGAGGCCCGGGTGCGGGCGGCTGCAGAGAGTGGGGAGTTGGGGGGGGGTAGGGTGCTGGTGTGGGAAAGCCCTCCTGGCTCCCTGGACGACCCTCTGTCTCAGAGAGAGGGCCTCCCAGTCAGTCCCACAGATGCTGGGGAAGAGATGTCCACTCCTTACCCTTCTTTCCACCAGGCCTCCCCACTGCACCCTCATTGTCAAGGTCTTGACTCTTGAGGGCCTCCCCCAGCACCCTGGCCCTCACCTCTTCCCGTGAGCAGGGCGCTCAGTGTCCGCTCCCCCAGAGCTTTGATGTCCAGGAAGGGTTTGTTCCCAATGCCCATGGAGACCATCTGCTGCACTCGGAGCTCTAGGGAACAGAGACCCTGTGACCAACCTCTGCCTCCCCCCTCCCCCCAGCCCAAGCACCCAACTCTTCCGTTTGGTCCCAATTCCCATTCCTTCCTCTCATTCCTCCGGTGTCCCCGGCTGCTTTGTCTGCTGACTGTCGTGACGGGGATGGTGACAGTGGTCTCTGACTTTCTCCCTTGTGTTGCGCCCTGTGCGTTGGGCCTCCCCGACACCTTCTAACTTCTAACACGGTGCTCAACTTCCTCCCTGTGTCTTGGACATCAAGAGCATATTCAGGGCTGGTGAGTTAAGCCACTGCTTGCAATGCTGCTATCCCATACCGTGGCGCCAGTTCACGTCCTGTCTCCGATCCAGCCTCCTGCCAATGCGTCTGAGAAGGCTTCAGGTGTTGGCCGCGTACTCCAGGAGGGAGACCTGGATGGAGCTCCTGGCTCCTCACTTTGGCCTGGCTCAGCCCTGGCTGTTGTGGCCCTTTGGGGGAGTAAACTAGCAGATGAAAGGTTGATCTCTCTATCTCATTCTCTCACTCTGTCCTTCCATCTTAGACAAGAACAGGGAGCTGGTGCTGTGACACAGCAGGTTAAGCCTCTGCTTGTGATGCCAGCGTCCCATGTCAGAAAGCCAGGTTTGAGACCTATCTGCTTCCCATCCTGCTCCCTGCTGATGTGCTTGGGAAAGCAGTGGAAGACAGTCCAAGTGCTTGAGTCCCTGCACCCATGTGGGAGACCCAGGTGGAGTTCTTGGCTCCTGGCTTCCATCTGGCTCAGCCCTGCTGATTGTGGCCATTCAAGGAGTAAACCAGTGGATGGAAGATCTCATTCTGTCTTTCAAATAAATAAAATAAATCTCTCTTTACAAAAAAAAAAAAAAAAAAAAAAAAAAAAAAAACCCTCTCACACCTTTACAGCTACAAAATGCTTCCTTATTTAATCCTCCCTAGGACACTAAGAGGCTACCATTATTTGATGTTTCAGATGAGTGGAGTGAGGTTCAGAAAAAAAAAAAAAACCCACAAACAGACCTAAACCAACCAACACAAAAACTAGTTCACATCACAGAGCAAGTAAGCGGCACCTGTTCTTAATCCAGCCCAGTGAGTGCTTCCTCACCTCCCGCCCAGACATTTCCTCTTGCCTCCCTGAAATTTGCTTGCTTTTTCCTTTTGGAAACCCCGAAGGTTAATGTTCATCTCTGCAATCTCTCAAGCCAGACCCTGAACCTTCTCACAAGTCCTTTCTCACGCTGTACCCTGTCTCCCCAGGCCATCTCCACATGCCACAGAACACTTCCTACCCCAGCCCTGCCCAGTACCCTTGTTGTGGGCTGCCTGTCTCCACAGCAGCTGGGCAATAGAACTTGTCCACTTGAGTTTGATCTCGGGTGAGGATGCCTGCAGCGTGTACGCCTCTCGTGCACGCCGCCGCCGAAACCACAGTTCAAAGCAGAGTCCGCTGTCCCCGATGTTTTCTGTCAGCCCCATGTCTGCAGTCTGGGGAAGGGTGGAGATGGAGACTTCTGCCCAGGTGGTACCACGGGAGCAAGCCCTACGCTGGGCCTGGTTTCTAGCAAGTGCTCAGGAAGTGCCCAGCACCTGCTGTGTGCCAAGTGTTCTCCCTTCAGCGTTCCTGACCTTCATGCCCAGAGTGGAAATGAGGCCCAGAGACAGGAAGCACATGGCCTCAGGGCTCATCAGAACTTACCAAAGCAGAATTGAAGCCCAGGTACATGTCACTCCCATGGGAAGCCTTTTCTCTATTTAAACTGCCACTGAAGAGCTGGAACCAGTGGGAGGGGGACAAAGCCTGGGCTCTGGTGTCATCCCACACTGTCTGATCCAGGACCGCAGGTGGCTGTGGGCACTGATCTGGGTACCCAGGCCGCTTCTCTAAAGCCAGCCTCTCGGGTTCTTCCCTTTGGTCAAGTTGGGCTATATAGGAGGCTACTCCAAACAATTCATGGAAAAAAATGAAATTAAAGGGTAAGCTTAGGGGCTGGTGGTGTGGTGCAGTGGGTTGAGCATCTCATCCTAGCTGCCTGCTAATACACCTGAGAAAGCAGTGGAACATGGCCGTGAGTCTCGGCCCCTACATGCACGTGGGAACCTGGATGGAAATCCAGGCTCCTGGCTTCAGTCTGGCCCAGCCCTGGCTATCGTGACCATTAGGGGAGTGAATCGGAGGGTGGAAGACTCATTCTCTCTCTCTGTAACTCTATCTTTCAAATAAATAAATCTTTAAAAAGAAAGACAAGTTTATTTTGGTGCAAATTGGTTGAAATGCACAAGTTTTTCAAGATATGCATTATCCAAGACTTTTGAGACACCCCTCTCTCTGCCCTGTGCATGGCTTTCAAAATATTTTGCACCCAAATAAATGTATCTTTTCATTCCATTTTTTATGACTTTGCAGAAGTACCTGCCTATGGTGTCCTTCCCTGTACTCAGGGACTGCTAACTCCACAGTGCAAAGGGCCTTCTGCACTCGGTCGGGGGTGGGGGTGGGGGAGGGAGAGTATCTCCTATGTGAGCCAAGAGGAAAGCCCCAGGAGGCAAGCCCCTCACAGGGTCTCCAGCACCCTACCAGGTGGCTGGTCCCAGCCTAAAGCTGATTCTAGAAGATGCAGATGCTGAACCTGGGTTAGGGTTCAATTTCCAGGAACGTTCTGAGTTCTCAAGAACAGTGTGACTACCATCCCCCGGCGGCCCTGCCCGCCCCAGCTCCAGCAGGGCAAGTACCTTAAAGGCTTGTTTGTAAACGAAGGTCTCGGAGCCGCCCTCAGGGCCTTTGAGTTTGCTGAACAGGAGGAGATGCTCAAAGAGGAAGACGTGGCGCAGGCACTTCTTTCGGCCACAGATGACAGTGAAGGGATCCCGATGCAAGAGCTGGCCCTGCTCCTTCAGGTCTATCTGGGGAGAGGAAGCAGAAAGGTCATTGGCCCTGGGCCCTTGGTGCGTATTTTACGGGGGGTGGGGGGGTGGGTCAGAATGGATTCATAGGCCAAGGGGCCAAAAGTACTGGTTCTCAGACAGAGGCTGGCAATTAGGGACGCCTTCAGCCCAGAATGCGGGCGCTGGCTACCATGCACAAAGCCCGGCTTCTGAAGACAGAAAGGGGCATTCATTGCATGGCAAGGTTTGCAGCCTCCTGGGTGTGCTGGGGACCCAGGAAGAGAATCAGCAAAGAACTGAAGGGGAGGGGGTAGAACAGGCCTATTCCTCTAGGAGCTGAGATTCTAGACTGTTCTAAAAAACTGGGGAGGAAGAAAAAGGTATCCAGATGCAGGAGGAAGCAAAGTTTATAGGGAAAGGTAAGAATTAGGGAAGGGGGGGCCAGTGCTGTTAAGCCTCTGCCTGCAGTGCCAGCATCCCATATTGGAGCCGGTTCGAGTTCTGGCTGCACCACTTCCAATCCAGCTCCCTGCTAATGTGCCTGGGAAAGCAGTGAAAAATGACCCAAGTCCTTGGGCCCCTGCACCCATGCAGGGGACCTGGAGGAGGCTCCTGGCTTTGGATCAGCACAGCTCCAGCCGTTGCGGCCATCTGGGGAGTGAACCAGCAAATGGAAGCCCTCTCTCTCTACCTCTGCCTCTCGGTGACTCTTTCAAATAAATAAATAAATCTTAAAGAAAAGAATTAGGGAAAGGGGAGGAGAGCACAGGCAGAGGCAGGAACATGGGAGGTTGGGCAGGACACAGATGAGGCTCGGTCAAGTTCACTGACGCGGTGATGAGAGCTCAGAGTCTGCAGCCCTGTGTCCTGGGGTCTGGCTCTCTCGTCAGCAGCCCACAGGGCTCTAGGCGGTCTGAGTGGTGACTGGGGCCGTGGCATGGCCTCACCTCACAGCCTCGTACTGCCTCCACGGCCAGCAGGTCTCTGCCGCGGACCTCTTGCTCCCGGAGCAGCTGCACGGCAGCCCCAAGGGCCTGGCGCTCAGAACTCAGCTCAGGCCCAGCTTCCCTCAGGAGCTCTTCCAGGAGCCGCCCGTACCGAGCCAGCTGCTCCAGGGGCTGCTGCAGGGCCCGGGGCAGGGCAGGGCCTCCCTCCATGGAGCCCTAGTTGGGGGGAGACAGAAAGGCATGAGGGGAGAGGCTGAAGCCTGTGGGGGCCCAGCTCTGGGGGGAAGGTGGGAGGGACACCAGCCTTTTGGGTGCAGATAAAGGCCAGATACTCCTGAAGCTTAGGCCAAAAGCCACTGCCCCACTCCCGGGGAAGCAAGCAGGCAGAGGGCCTGTACGAGAAGCCGCCGTCCTCCAATCCTAAAGGGGGGATGCAGACAGGAATCCTTTATATTGTCTCGGTTTTCACTGTGGCGGTCACGGCCGTGATGGGGTCTCTGGGTGCCCAGCGCTCCCTGTGACTTAGATACAGGGAATGTCGTCCTCATTTGCAAAAAGCGGCCCAGAGAAATCAAGGCTGTAGCCCAGGGTCCCTCAGCCAGACTGGACCAGAAAGTGCTGGTGGCACCTGGCGGCTGGTCCCACGCCCACCCCACCCTCAGCGCTTGTGGGACTGTGTTGGTAGGTGGTGTGATCCTCGGGACATCCAGGAGAGCTTTTCTCCCCGAGGGGCTTTGGGGTCTGTGGGTTAGGTCTCCCCGACCTCTCTTGTCATGAGGGCTGGACAAAGGTTACCTTGGTCGGGGGGCTGAGCAGAGCCAGGCCACTCTCCAGTTTGTGCCGGTGCTTCACGTACTGGGCGTACAGGCTGAACTGGTCCCCCTGCAGGGTCAGGAAGAGGTCAGGCGTCCTGGTGCGGCCCCTCGCAGGCTGGCCTCTCCCTCTGCCCCCCCCACCCTCCCTGCAGCCCAGAGGCAGCAGAGGCTCCTGGGAGCACTCAGCTGCAGGGGAAGGAAGCACACTGAGGCTGAGGGGAGCAGGACAGATGGGGGGTGGGGAGCTGGAGAATGGTGGGCCACCCATGGGTGCAGTGGGGCAGGAGCGCGCGGAGGGGAGGACCTGCAGGTGTTTTAGAGGGTCACCCACATGACGAAGGAAGCAGGCTCCGATGCGCAGGGGGTGGGCAGCACAGCCCTGAAGCTCCCTCAGAAAGTGGGTGCGGTGGAAGCTGCGGAGCCTCTCCCGGACACTGAGCGCGGCAGCCCAGGTGCCCCGCAGCTCAGGGGTCAGCTCAGGCCCGGGAGCTGGCACTGGCTCACTCAGCACGGCCACGTACTCCTGCTCACAGGCAATCAGCTCGGACACCAGGCGCTGCTGGGCACTGCGGGTACAACAGGAGTGGCAGAGGACGTGTTGCCGGGGCACGGGAGGGAGCCACAGCCTCCACGCCCGTCATTCTGGCCAGACAGCTAGCTGTGCCCCTTGGGCAGCGCTGGGATGAGTTCTTACCTGATGCTTCTCTTGCGTTCCATCCGAGGGGTGCCTCCTCCCCAGGGCCCGTCTGGGCCCCCGGCCCGGCCCAGGAGCACATGTTCCCGCGGAGAGCACGTCCTGTCTACCACCTCGGTGCTGGTGACCTCCAGGCCTCGGATCAGCACGGCCCTCGGGGGCCTGCCCTCGGCGTCTGGGGCCAGCTCAGGGCCCTCCTCTGCACAGTCCTCCCCACACGGGGCCAGGGAGCAGTGGGATGGGGCTGCCCGTGGCCCAGGGCTCCCAGGGAGCAGCAGAGAGCTGAGGCTGGGCGAGGGGCTGTGGGGCCCCCGATGGGCGCCCCCGCTGCTGGCACTGTCCGCCCGCCGTCGCCGGTGGCTGCGAGGACTCGCCTCTTCTCCCAGCTGTTGCTGAATCCTCCGCTCCAGCTCCTGGCAGCGAGCCCGGCAGCGGCCCCATTCTCGCAGCGCTGCTGGGCTGCCCAGGTCCAGGGCCAGGGCCCGCATCTCCTGGAAGGTGCCAGCGCTGGGCTCTGGGGCCCGTCGCAAGGCCAGGGCTGCCAGCACGGCCTCTCGACCTGAGCCCGCTCCTGCCAGCCTTGCCGAGCCCTCGTCCACCCACTCGTGTGCCTACAAAGCCAGAGGGATTGCAGAGGGGAGAGAAAGGGTGAGGACCTGGGCTGCTTCCAAACGTTGCCCCGACAGCTCTTTTTTCTGGCTGATGGCTTCCCAATGCCCATCACTCTCCGTCCTCTCTCATCATCCCCACATTGCTGCCTAACCTGACCATGTCACCCAGAGCTGATCTGGTGACACAGGAACCTAGATAAAACAGCTAAGAGGAATCCAGAGTTCATAAGTGGCAGGCTGGTTTCTAAGTGCTTTCCCATGTTGTCTTATGCAACCCTCATGGCAACCCTATGGAGGCACGCTCAGGCTGAGTAGCTTGTCCCAGGTCATTCTGCAGGTAGGTGGCAGAGCTGAGCCAAAGCCAAGGACCTGGGCTCCTGAGTCCCTGCTCTTAGCAGCAGCCTGGTCAGCCTCTCCAGGCAAAAGAGAGGGAAAGGGTCCAGGAGGAGGCGGCTCTGCACGCACCTGCTGGAAGAAGCGCTGCAGCCTCAGGGCCCGATGGAGACCACTCTCCACCTGCTCCAGCCGCTGCTCAAAGACATCCAGAACCTTCTGGGAAGCGGCGTCCTCCTCCACGGCCAGGGCCTCCCGTGCCTGGGCCAGGTGCTCCTGGAGAAGGGAAGCTGTGCTCAGCCCTGGTCCTCACTCGCAGCACGCCTCCCTCTGCCATTCCACATGTCTCTGCTCACCGGCCCCACACCCCCTCCTCACCTGAACCTCACTGCTGAAAGCCCGGAATCGCAGCTCAGTCTCCTGCAGGGCGATCAGGGAGTCCCCAGGCACAGCGAAGATGGCCAGCTGCTCCTCCCCAGGGCCTGAGAGCCACTGTAACACCTGAGGAAGAAGGCGTGGGAGAGCAGGGGGCTGTGAGGGAGGAGGTGGATGGTGGGAAGGGGGCTGGCGCTGTGGCACAGCAGGTAAAGCCACTGCCTGTGACACCGTCATCCCATATGAGCACTGGCTCAAGTCCTGTGCTCTACTTCCAAGCCAGCTCCCCACTAATGCGCCTGGGAAAGCAGCAGAAGATGGCCCAAGTGCTCGTGTTCCCGCCTCCTACGTGGGAGACACGGGTGGAATTCTGGGCTCCTGGCTTCGGTCTGGCCCAGCCCTGACCATTGCAGCCATCTGGGGAGTGGACCAGCTAATAAAAGCTCTCTCTCTCTCTGTCTCTCTCTCTGTCACTCCGCCTTTCAAATAAATAAATCTTCAAAATAAATAAATAAAAAGCTAACTCCAGCTCTCCAACACCCCAATCCATAGAACAAGGGGTGAACCATTTCATCTCTTCTATAATGTGGCACTGATAGCTGGAAATGACAAGGGTCAAGTGAGAGGCTGGGCAAGAACTCTTTAGCAAAGCACCAGAGAAGCTGAGCTGGAAGGAAGCATTGAGGGAGGCAGGTCAGAGCTCCAGGGCTATGTCTGGAGGGTGAAGTAGGTAAGACTGTGAGCCAATGGCAGGATGAGGGTCGTTAAGTAATGAGTGCCCGGTGGGCGGGGTCCTAGGCACCAGGCCTGGGAGACGAGCTGGAAGGTGGCTGTGTGTGTTTCCAGCTCTAGTTGCTTCCTATGGGGCTACAGGAGCTCTCATGCTGGTTCTGAGATGTTTGACCAAAAAGGGACGGTAGTTCTTCCCTTTGAAGAAAGGTTGGCAGGGGCCGGCGCTGTGGCTCAACAGGCTAATCCTCCACTTTGCGGCACCGGCACACCAGGTTCTAGTCCCAGTCAGGGCGCCGGATTCTGTCCCGGTTGCCCCTCTTCCAGGCCAGCTCTCTGCTGTGGCCAGGGAGTGCAGTGGAGGATGGCCCAAGTGCTTGGGCCCTGCACCCCATGGGAGACCAGGAGAAGTACCTGGCTCCTGCCTTCGGATCAGCGTGGTGCACCGGTCGCAGTGCGCCGGCCGCGGCGGCCATTGGAGGGTGAACCAACGGAAAAAGGAAGACCTTTCTCTCTCTCTCTCTCTCTCTCTCTCTCACTGTCCACTCTGCCTGTCCAAAAAAAAAAAAAAAAAAAAAAAAGGAAGAAGAAGAAAGGTTGGCAGCTGGGGTTTGACAGCCTGAGAATGTTCCTGACAGCCAGTGCAGCAGCACCACCACTTAGATAATCCTTTGCCTAATTCATTTCATCACCCTAACCCACTGTGAGTTCATTCCCACGCAGATTCCGCGGAGGAGGCCTGGGAACTCAGAGGAGCGTCACAACTGGCCCAACATCTGAACACCTGGCAGAGCTCGAACTCAAGCCCTGCACTGCCAACTCCACATCGTGTTTGTAAATGGCGCAGGGGTGGGAGAGAAGGAGCAGCTGATGAGCAAGCAAGCAACACGTAGGTGCAACTCCCTGGATACTGCGAGACCCAACGTGCAGAAGCCCCAGGAGGGAGAAAGCCCTGACCCTCCTTGAGCAACGCCCTTGAGATGACCTTTCCCCAATGCCCACTGCAGGCCCATGAGTGACTGCTCCATGCTTGGGACTGAGGAGGCACAATGAGATTTCAAAGATGCCCCATCCACTGTAGTGTGGACGAGAGGCCAGCTTATCCCCGAACCTTCCCTGCAGAGGCCCCTGGTTCTTCTGAGAGGCTCACAATGCCACTTCCGCTAAGGTGGAAGGAGGTGGGACCTCTGGGGTGGCGGTGACAGTGCCTAAGGAGTTGAGGAAGCATGTCTGGTAGTGGAGTTAGAACCGGTGTCAACAGACCTTGATTATTCTTAAGCTAAGGAAGTAGGTACTCCAGTCAGTCAGTCTTTCCAGAACCCCCTGGGGCACCTGTCTTTCCTGGTACTGAGATATTCCCACTCTCTTGGTAAATCCACATTTTCCACGACCAACTCCGAGGCAGGTGAGGAGAGAGGGAGGGGCAGGCGAGAACAGCATCACCTCTGAGTGTCAGTGGGAAAAGGCATGCAGGAGGCCAGGCTCGTAGGCTGAGTGAGGAGGACGCGGGGGCCCAGCTCACCTGCTGCAGTCGGTGCAGGCGCTGCCGCTGCTCCTGCTGCTGCACATGCAGGTTGGACAGGCGCACGAGCTGGTGAATGGCCTCGTCCACCTCCTGATAGAGCATGGCTGGGCCCGGGCCCTCCAGCCTGCGGAGGGAGCAGCAGAATGAGCCATCACCCTAGCTGAGATCTAATTCTGTCCTCACATCCCCTCCAAGGGATGCAAGCATGAGAGGAGACGTGGCATAGACGGATCAGCGTGTGGGCCAAACTCAGACGGCCTGGATTCGAACCCTAGCTCTTCCATGTCCTGACTGATCTCAGCCAAGACATGCAACATTTCTAATCCTTCCAATTCTTGTTTGTATTGGTAATTAGCACACAGAGGTGTCGTGGAGGGTCAAAGCGTGGCATCCTGCCCAGATGCATTTGCAGCAAGAATGCTCTGGCAGCTCAGGTCTGTTGGCAGCGCGCCTCTGTCTCCACCTCTCACTTCCACCCACCGCCGCACACCCATGCCTCGTACTTGCAGCTGTGGGTAGAGCGCAGCCTCATCAGGATGGCCCCACCATCCCTCTGCAGCGCCGTCAGCCGTGGATCCGCCAGCACCTTCTGCAGGGGCTCGGGCATCCCCACTGCCTCCTGGGGGAAAGGCAGCAGGCAGTTGACAGGTGGGCTCCCGCAGGATGTCCCCATCCCTGTGGCATCCCCCGTTGTCCCATCTCATGTCGTACCTCTCCCTCGGGCTCTGCAGCTCCTTCCAGCTCCTCAATGGCCTGCCGTATAGAGGCCAGCACGCCTCTGCACAGGCGGCACAGTCTTGCCACTTCCTGAAAGCCACAGGCAGGAATCATTAGGATAAAGACCCTGAGCCCCAGGGGTGGAGGAGGGCCGGCCCCCTGCAGACATCTCTGGAGGCCACGCTGGGTTCAGTTCCTGACTCTGTTGCTTCTGAGTTGTATGACTTTGGCAGATCCAGAAACCAGAGAACCCTCAGCTGCCTCAACCGTGAGGTCGGGCTAAGACAGGATTTTTTGTGTGTATGTGTTTTAAAGAGATGATGTCAGCTGAGCACCTAGCACGGGCCTGGAACATTGTATAGCCTAAAGAATGTGAGTCCCTTTCTGTCTCTGCTGGGTCCTCACCTCACAGCCTCCTTCCTGCTCGTGCAGGGACGCTTCCCCTTTGATGGGTAACTCAGAGACCATGCTACTGACACCCGCCTAGGCTCTGTTCAGACTAGGCTTGTTCCTCTCTTTTTGAGCCCGCAGCACTTAGATTCAAGGGCTCCTGGAATAGAAGCGCTAGAAGGACCTTTTCAGGTCTTAGCACGATCGCTGCACTTTGCAGATGAGGATCCCAAGTCTGGGTGTTAGTGCATTTCCGGGAGTGAGCTAAAGGAACTTGTCATATGGAACAAGAACCAGCCTTCCTGCCTCTCAGGGCTTTCCAAAAACCAGCGACACGGTCTTCCACTCTACTTGTTTTACGATGTGTTTCCCATCAAGTAAATCATGGGCTATGTAACATCATGTTGAGAATTTATTTGCCCTATTCCTCCCATCTTGCAAAGAGCCCACAGAGCTCACTATTTTGCTCAAGGCTTGTGAGCCACAAATATTTGTTGAGTGAAACAGAAAACACTTTTTCCCAACTCCATGATCACGTCTCTTCTCTCTCTCCTAGATGTCCTCAGCTGCGTCATTCCTGGCTCCCAGTGCCCTGTGTCAGGGAGGGGAACTTACCTGATGAATCTCCACCCAGTGGCTGGGAGAGGGGTCCCTGTGACCTCCTAAGTCCCACTGCAGCTCTTCTGGCCTGGCCACCCTTTTCAGATCATTCTCTGACAGCAACTCCGCACCCTGTAGACATGTGAAGGCAGATTTCTGCCTGGGTTCCAGGTATCCAGAGTTCAGTACAGGGCCCCAGCCCCAGTTTCTTTGTCCAGTACAGAGTTGGGGGACTAGGTGGGAGTCAGGGGTTCAAACCTGAAGTCCACCAAGTTCAGTGGGAGCTTCATCAGGAGTGAGAATCAGCAGCCGCTGGATGAGGGGAGGGTCTCCTGAGTCCTGGGGGCAGACGAGGGAAACCGCCTTCAGCTGTGGGCGACTGGGTGGCCTGGAATGGCCACGAGGGACTGCCTGTCTCAAAGCATGGTTACCTGAAGCTGACTCAGGACAGGAGTAAGTGCCGGAGGCAGTGAGGGTGCTTTGCGAAGGTCCAGCAGGACAGACAGCCCCAGTCTCTGTAGATCAGGCCTGTGGAAGCAGGAAGAGCCAAGGAGGCTCAGAGTGTGTGTGTACGAGCGAGTGTGTGCGCATGTGTGTATGCCAGGGGTAGCAGAAAGAGCAGGCCACAGGCACAGGGTCTGGTTTTAGTGTCAACAATCCTGGTGAGAAGTTAGTTCCTGATACATTTTAGGAGCCACAGGCATAGGGCCAAATCCAGGTGTGTGTGTCCAACAGGCAGTGACTTAACAATTAGGAGTCTAGATTCACATGGCTACTGGGTCAAGGAATCAAGGTTGGGAAAGTCATGAATCCTATGCCCTGGAAAAGTGTGAACTCAATGCCAGCCTGTAGCATGGTACCTAACAGGTACTTGGAGCCTAATACATGTTGTATTTAAGTGAGTGAACCAATGTCCTGCTCATCTAGGTGGCATTCACAGGATACCGAAAGTCAATAGTACTGATTCTAGGACCAGTGAAGGTATCCTGGAGGTGAAGGGTCAGCAAGGCCAGAAGCCAGAGGCTCGACACTCCAAAGGCTGAAGGTGGTGTCTTGGGGGTCAGAAGGCTGGTGCCCCGAGAAGGAGGTCAGGTCCTCGCGACTCAGGAGGTTAACGTCCAGGGTGCAGCACTGGGCTGCGGTTACCTGAGCAGTGAGTGCAGGTAATGAAGAGCAGTGCCCAGCGTGTCTCGGGAGGGTGGGGGCTCCGCAGGAGGGCACGGTGGGGTAATGGTCAGTAGAGCTCGCCCACTCTGGTCCACCCCTCCTGAGGACACAAAATGGCCAGGCTGTCCTGGCTGGGAGCAGTTCTCGGCTACCTCCCTTCCACCCCGCCTCCCTCCCGAGCCCCCCCTTAGCTCCTTCTCTAGGCCCAGCCCCCAGCCCTCCCCACACTGATGCCCACTGACCAGTCAGGATGAGGAAGCCAGATGCCATCAAGTCCCAGGCTATGTCAGGGTCATCAGAGACAGAGAGCGGAGGAGCCTCTTCTGGGCTGCTGTCCCCTTTGACTTCCTGCACAGTCTCTAGGGGCGGTGGCAGAGGGTCAGACAGGAGCTCTTCTGGGCCTGCGGGTCCTGCACAGACACAGCAGAGCTATGAGCCCCAGGTGAGGACGGCTCTAGCTGCTGTGCCCCTCACCCTACCCCTCCAAGCCTGACCTGCCCTGGCCCTTGCAGCCTGGGGCTCTGCGCCGTCTCACCTGCCAGACACACCGGGCCCAGCCCCTCCTGCTCGTTCTCTCGGGCTTCCGCTTCCGTAGGCCCACAGGCCTCTGGGGGCCGAGGCTCCTTTTCATCCGCAGGCGTGAGCTCCTCTTTTGGCTCAGATTCAGACTTGCCAGAGCCTTCGGGCTCGTCCTTTCCCAAGCTGTGTTCTGCAGGCTCCTGCTCATTTGCTGCAGGCACACGGGCCAGGGCGTCCTGGGGGCTGGCCTCTTCCTTATCTCCAGGGCTCAGTGGGGCACTGTCCCCTCCTCGGCTAAGAACACCTCTGCCTGCAGCTCGCTTCTTTCTCCTGTTGCCTTTGCCTGTTCTCCGAGGGGTGCCAGGTGGTCCTTCAGCCCCCTGGCCGGCTCCTCCCCCAGCCTCCCCTGGCATCGGGGGGCAAGATTCAGAGGCTTCCCCCAGGGCCTCAGCGGGGGGCTCCAACGCTTCTACAACCGCTGCTTCTGGGAGAGACTCGGGTCCAGGGGGAGACCCTGGGGAGGCTCGGGTGCTGCTCCCCTCACCGGGTGGGCGTGCCCCAGCCTGGTCCCTTAGTCCCAAGCCCTTCTGGTGCATCCACGCCCGATGTCTGCGGTGCCGGCCTTTCCCCCCTGCGCCCTTGCGGGTGGGGACTGTCCTGGTCCTGGAGAGGCCCGAGGAGCCCTCGGCATCGGGGGGACTCCCGCGCACGGGCAGCGTCACCTCCACCAGCTCCACGTACTCGCCCTCGGGCCCTTCAGCAGGGGCGTTGTGCCCATCCCCGGGACTCCGCGTGCCCAGTGCCTCCTCAGGCAGGGGAGGGCTGGGAAGCCCTGGAGGTCCAGAAGGCAGTTCTGGGGGCAGCGTGCTCGGCCGATGTCCAACCATGAGGCCTCCTTTGTGTACAAACCGTGGGCATATGAGCTCAGCCCAGGGCAGCCGCTGAATCCCAGAGGGCGCAGACAGCAGGCAGGTACTGAGGCGACCTGTGGGCCGGTCCTTGTTGATGCCTTGGAGCCACTCAGGTGTGAACAGGTAGGCACAGGCCTCATTAGGCACGGGCAGCTCCTGCACCCGCCCACCCCCTGGGGCCAGACACTTGAGTGCCAGACGGGGCGCCTGGGCTGCTGAGGGTACCACTTGCAGGTAGAAATCTCCCGGGCGCAGTAGCTGCCAGGGTAGGGCTGCTAGCTGCACCACCACCTGCTCGTGCAGGCAGAGGGGCCAGCCCTCATGGAAGAAGAGGAATCCACTGTACTGGGCCTGGAGAGAGAGGTGGGAGGCTGCACTCAGGCCTCTGCTGAGGAAACCAGCAGGAGGCGGGCAGTCAGGATGGGTTCCAACCCCAGGGGAACAGGAGGAGACCTCCTGGGGTGTTCATGTGACAGAGAAGAGATGGGGACTGCTCAGTCTTCTGCTGGCAGGAAGCTAACTCCGTGTGCAGGAGGGTAAAAACCAAATCACTGCAAAGACACCATCAGCAGGTGCCATTGTCTGGGGGAAATCAAAGACTCCCGGCAGGTCATTCTGTCTGGAGAAGTGAGAGGTCTCTGCTGAGCCATGTCTCGGGGAGGCAGGATCCTGAGAAATTCCTATGAGTAGAGAAATACCTGGAACTGGGTCTGAGGGTCAGGGTCTTTGGGAGTCAACGTGTCCTGCAGGTCCACATCTGGAGGAGGAGTGAATGAGTGTGTGTGTGTGTGTGTGTGTGTGTGTGTGACTATGAGTGGTCACGCCTCTGAGGATCAGTTTGTGGGAGGTCAGCAAATGAGGCTCCAGTACCTCTTTGGGGACAGGACTAGGGGATGCTGCTTCTCCACTGGGTTGGGGGCAGAGGGGAGGAATTAGCCTGGACAGTTTCTGAAGTGAGGCAAGTGGGCCCTAGGGGAGAAAGAACAGGGATGCACAGCCACTCACACAGGCTTCCTGCTGGACCTTGGCAAGCAGGTGCTTGGCTGGAACCAGGAAGTCCAGTGTATACCTCAGTGCATCCTCCCGGTAAGTCCTCTCCACAACCTGGAACACCTGGCCCAACAGTGTGGGCGCTGTTGCCTCGAAGGGTGGGTACAAGGCAGCAAGAGTGCTCTGCACACAGTCTTCCACTGGCTCAGGCTCCTGGGAGAGACAAAACCAGGCTACTGTCTCCTAGGGATCAGCCCCAGCATGGCACCAGCACCGATCTGCTGGCGGTTTTGCCCCCAGGGCCTCACAGTGCAATGTATACACTCAGGGAATGCTGGCTGAATAAGCCCAGGGTGCTGGGCCCATTGGCAGAGTGCCCAGCGCTCTGCACACGGGAGCTCTGGGACCTTGCCTTTGGAGAGCCGGGGAGAATCTGTGGTGAGTACCTCTGCTCAGGACTGTTCCTAGTGCCTGTGAATCAGGGTGACTGCACAGGCCCTCGATGGGGGAGAAGAGACAGGCAGGGGTCAGCGCTGTGGCATAGTGGGTAAAGCCAGCGCCTGCAGTGCTGGCATCCCACATGAGCACTGGTTCAAGTCCCATCTCCTCCACTTTCAATCCAGCTCTCTACATTGGCCTTGTGAAAGCAGTGGAAGATGGCCCAAGTCCTTGGGCCCCTGCACCTGCGTGGGAGACCCAGAAGTTCCTGGCTTCTGGCTTCAGATTGGTTCAACTCTCGCCGTTGTGGCCATATGGGGAGAAAACCAGCGGATGGAAGATTTCTTTTTTCTCTGCATCTGCCTCTCTGTAACTCTTTTATTTGAAATAAATACTTTTTTTTTTTTTTTTTTTTTAAAGAAGAGACAGGCTCCTGGGTCATCAGGAGTTAATGGCTGGCAACTCTGGAGGGTGGATGGACGGGTCCAGACAGCCATCACAGAAGACATGAGACCCCCATCTAAAGTGGAGGTGACACCGTTATATCGTAGGGACTGTGGCTGGGAGGGAAGCAGGAGCACAGAACCCTGTTGGAGACTGTCTGGTCTTTCCAGCACCCCTCTTCTGCAGTGGCTCTAAAATAATCACCCATTCCCGGAGCATGTGGATTAGGTTACAAAGAACTGGGTGGGGGCAGTTGAAAGAGGGGAAAGTTACAAAAGCAACAGGCCGGGAAGCCAGAGGGAGGCCTTCGGCATATGCATCCAGCCAAAACTGCAGTGGAACCTCTCTTCCTGCCAACCTTGACCTGGAGCCACTGTCTCAGACTCGGCCTGCTCCATCCAGACCTGCCTCCCTAAGTCAATCAACGGGACATCTTTCTCCAGCCCACACCCCAAACTACCTCCCCTCGGGCTATTCTTTCGCAAGCTTTTTTTTCTTTCAAGAGGGCCTTTGAAGTGCCTCTTACCAGATTTCTTTGCAGTAAAACGCGCCAAGGGGATGCTCAGTGCGGTGTTTACCGGGGTCTCTACCCGGCCCGAGCCCCCACGCCCTTCCTCTGCCCCAGGACAAAGCTGCATTTTTCTTGTGAGTCCCTGCAGCCAGAGCGGCCCGCTGGCCCTGACACTCAACAGCGAGACCGGCCACTCCAGCAGCTGGCGCACAGCGCGGCCGCGCACAAGCGGGCCCCAAGGTGTGTGGGCGAGCAGACAGACCCCCAGTGTTCCCGGGACCTCTCGGCGCTGCGCGCGTGGGTGAGGGGCGGTGGAGACGCGTGGGGGTGAGGCCGAGAGGGCCGTGCGCTCCAAGGCCGGGAGGAGGGGAGCTGGAGCCCGAGCAGCCAGGCAGCTGCAACCCATTAGGGGCGGTGAGCTCATGGCTGAGCGAGAGTCTCAGCCACAGGAAGCGGCAGCGGCAGGAGGGGAGGAGGGGTCTGGGGCGGGAGGCGGCGGGAGGGAGCACGGAGAGCGGGCTTCCAGCCGGCCGACACCAAAGAGGAGACCAGAGAGACTGAGTCAGCTCTCCCTGGCCCAGTTCCTCTTTCTCCGTGCTCCAGCTTTTGCGCAGGGGGTGCCTTTCCCTCGGCAGAGCAGCGGTCTGGGTGGTGCGCCCGCCCCTCCTCCACTCCCAGGAGGGAGCGCCCCTCGGCAGCGCCGCTCCCCCGCCTTCGCTGTCTGCAGCGAGCGCCCCCTCGGCCGCGGCCCCCCTTGCAGCGGGCGCACTCCCTGCCAGTGCCCACTCTTGCAGCGGTTCTTCAGAGAGTACTTCTGGAGTGAAAGTTCCCAGGACGGCGCTCACTCCTGCCGGGGTGGGCTTCCAGCGCCCTGGGCCGCCGCAACCAGGGGCCTCTACCTCCTGCAGGGAGCTCCCAGGCGCCGTTTCTGTCCCCAGCGGCGGGCGCTCCGGGGCACTGTCCCCCCCTCCCCCTGGTCTCCAGCCTGCCGGGGCAGCGCCACGCCCCTCCCCCTGGCACCAGGGACCCTCTTTACCCCCATACGTCCATCACGCCGAGGCAACCCCTTTCTCTCTGCGGGAATTTCCCTTTTTGGCCATGCCCCTGGCCCCGGCCCAGCCACAGCTGTGACCAGTCCCCCAGGGCCGGATGGGTGGGCCTGCCTCACCGGGTTGGGGACTGGGATGGAAAATGGTGGTTCCAGGCAGGTCAGTTCTCATGACCCGAGGCCGGGCCCCTCCAAGGCCGCTTCAGAATCCCCCACCCCCACCCCGCAGGGGTCTCCCGCGGGTAATGAGTTGAGAGCGAGAGGGGGAGGGAAGAGCCAGCAGAGGAAGGCTCAGGTCAGGGCAGCGCAGGGCGAGGAGGCATGCAGCTCGAGGGGGAGACCCAGGGTAGGGGACGGGGCAGGGGCAGGGGCAGAGGAGAGGAGGAAAAAAGAAAGGCCGAGGGCCGCGCTCGCGGGGGACAGAGCCAGACTGCGGGGCAGGACCGACACAGCGAAAGAAAGCAGGGAGGGGGGGGATGGGAGGGAGGGGAGTCCCGGGCGCGCTCCACAGTGCAGGAGGCACCCGGCTGGGGGCCCGGGGGCCCGGAGCGGGCTGCGCGAAGGCCGAGGGGGACCCAGAGGCTGCGACGCGGGACTCACCATGGCTCGGCACCGGGCCGCGTCCGACGCTCGCGCGGGCGGGCGGGGCCGGGCGCCACCGCCTCCCTCCCGCCGCTCGCGTCTCGCCGGCTCTGGCTGGGGGACAGCTCCGGCCGCGGTGGCGGCGCGGCCCGCTCGGGCGCCCAGGCCGCGGGGCCCCGCCAGGGAGGGCCCAGACGGCCGCCCTGCCCCGCCCCGTCCCGCCCTTCAGCGCCCGCCCCCGCCGCCGCGCGCGACCCCTTGTCGGGACTCCCTCTGGCTCGCTAAGCCGCGGCGCGGCTCCCCCGACGTCTGCAGCCAATCCGCCCGGCTCACCCGAAACCTTCCTTCCTTCTCCGCCCCGCCCTCCGGTGGGCCGCCCGGACCCTCACCCGCCGAGGATGCCCCTCTTTTCCCGCCATCGCCTCGCTCCCAGCGGGATCGGTGTAGCCTCCGCCTGGGACGCTCCGCAGACTGGGGCACGCGCCAAGTTCCCTGGATCTCCTGCTGAGGGCTGGGGTCGTTCCACGGCCGGAAGCTTCCTGCCTCTGACTCACTGGGGACCCCCTTCTCTCCTCGGCGGCCAGAGTTTGGCGGGTCCAGACGTTGGGAAGAGACCCCCAGGCCCCAGCCCGCTGTGGGTCCTGCGGAGGGCCGAGACACTCGGGGATTCCCCAGCTCCCCAGGGACTTGTCCGCCCTCCTCCTTCGCTTCCCATCTTCTCCGGCCTCGAGCTACGGCCTCCAGGCTACGACAATGGGCTCCTCTGTGCTGGCTGGGGAAGGCGGGGGCGTGGGGGAATTGGGGAGCGGCGGAGGCCTGGAGTTGGGGGGCGGGGGGATATCGCACTGAGGCCTGCAGGGCCTGGGATCAGGATCCTCCCGTGCGGGCTTTGGGAAACTTTTTGTGAGCTCTCTGCTCGCGGGCCCCTCCCTCTCGCACCCCCAGCTCCTCCTCTTTGACTGCAGAAGGCACCAGCTGCCCAGCTGGACCCCCAGGATTGTCCGCCAGACCCTTCTTTCTTGCAGGGGACAATAGGGTCTCAGCGGGGCTCAGGGCGATGGGAATGAGTATCTGACGCGCTAGACGGCAGGGCAGACTAGCTAAGAAAGCCAAAGTCTCCCACCCACCACCAAACCGTGGGCGTCCTCAAGAAATGAAAGCTCCGGGAGCCAGCAGGGCCGGGGGAGAGGTAGGCACAGCGGGGAGATGCCCCGCCTCGACCCTGAGCCCGCACTGGAAAGCCCTGCTGTTCCCTTCCAAAGGAGAGCGCTGGCGAGGGGATGGCGGAGAGAGGGGCGTGGCCGCCCTGTCTTGGGGGCTGCGGTTAGAACCCTGTGTCTCCTGGGGTGCCTGCATTGCCTGGATTCCAGTCCCGGATCTGCCTGAGTCCAGCTTCCTGCTAATGTGCACCCTTGGGAGGCAGCACATGGTGGCTCAAGTACTTGGGTCACTGCCACCCACGTGAGAGGCCCAGATTGAGTTCTGGGCTCCCAGCTTCAGCCTGGACCAGCCCCAGCTATTGCAGGCATTTGGGCAGTGAATCGGCCCACGGAAGGTGTCTTTCTGTCCCTGTCTCTGCCTTCGCATTAGAAGAAAAGAAAAAGAGGCGGGTTCCTACAGGGCTGGAGGCTGGAAGCGCCGCGGAGTTGTTGGACCAGCCAGAGGCGTGGCCAGGTCGTCCTGGGGGACGGACTCTTCCCGCACTTTCTCCGCTCTGTTCTGCTGGGTCTGGAAAAGGAAAGAAAATGTTCATCTTTCTTAGCGGCGAGAAGAGCCCTTCTGTTCCATGGCTTCAAAAGCTATCTAGGGCAGCAAAACCCAACCCATCTTCCTAGCAGAGATAGTGCCACGGAGATGGGGCTCTGTACAACAACAGGTTATGGCATCCTGGAGTCACTACCGTTTCCTTGTAACTGGGGCGCGGGAGCTAGGAGAACGAGATGGTGCTACCCCCTGGTGTCCACACTGTAAATACTGCCCAGTAGCCGGTTACAGGGTCAGCAGTTAAGAACCTCTTTGGGAAGATCTTGTATAAACTTCACTCACTCTCTCAGATCCAGCTCCCCCATTCTGGCTGTTGAGGGAGTATGAACCTTCTCTTACCAGGTCTTCTAATTCCTCATTCTCAAGCAAATTGGGGAACACTTGGCCACTGAGTTCAAGCTTTGGTAACTAGGTAGAGGCATATAAATTAAGCTGCTTATGGGGCTCCATGAGCTCCTGGAAAAAGAAGTGAGTCATTTTTCTTTCTGTGGAAAGACAGAGAGCTGCTGAGAGTTTCTGAGCTGGTGGAGTGAGGGAGTTTGGATACAGGGTCTGGGATGCAGTTGTCTGCTCTTTTCAAGAGTTTTAAATCTGTGCTAAATTACAAAGATTTATTTTAAGTAAGTGACACATATGCTTACAGTGGTTAAATGCCACTTTCTCAAAGAATGCAGGCTTTTACCTAAAAGATTGTGTGTGTGTGTGTGTACACAATAGAGTCTGTGTTGATGTGTGTGCTTCTGGTGGAAGGATATGAAGGGATGAGGTTATCATGGAGAAATTAGAGGCTGTGACAGGACCCAGCTGCATTCACAGACATTTGTCACCATATTTCATGAATTTCAGATTCTTGCGATCTTCTCCAACTTCTGTGTTAACGGATGAAATTCCGGCTTCCTGAAGTGAAGTAATTTGTTCCAGGCTACACAGTAAGTGAAAAGGCCAGGACTTGAACCATGGCTGTCTGATTCCAGAACCTTCACTCTCAATCTCGTAGTTGTAGGGCTTCATCTAAGCTGTCAAAGGTCATAAAAGAAGAGCTTGGAATACTACATCACCTTTTCTGCCACTGAGCCATCATGCTAAAACGCATTAACGTTGGGTGCAGTGCTTAAGACTTCATTTGGGACACATGCATCCCATATTGGAGTGCCAGAGATCAAGTGCCAGTTCTTCCACTCCTGATCCAGCTTCCCACTAACAATGCACACTCTGAGAGGCAACAGGTGATGGCTCAAGTACCTGGGTCCCTGCCACCTGCAGGGGAGACCTGGATTTGAGTTCCTGGCATCTGGCTTTAGCCTGGCTTGGCCCTGGCTGTTGTGGACCTTTGGGGAGTGAACCAGTGATGAGAGTTCTGTGTGTATGTCTCTCAAATAAAATGCAAATAATGAATAAACAATTTTTAAAGAGCATCTTCCCAATCTTGAATTCAAATTTTTAAAATAAATCTTTATTTTATTTATTTTTTTTGACAGGCAGAGTTAAACAGTGAGAGACAGAGAGAAAGGTCTTCCTTTTCCATTGGTTCACCCCCCAATGGCCGCCGCAGCCGGTGCACTGCACCGATCTGAAGCCAGGAGCCAGGTGCTTCCTTCTGGTCTCCCATGCGGGTGCAGGGCCCAAGCACTTGGGCCATCCTCCACTGCACTCCTGGGCCACAGCAGAGAGCTGGACTGAAAGAAGAGCAACCGGGACAAAATCTGGCGCCCCCAATGGGACTAGAACCCGGGGTGCTGGAACCGCAGGCAGAGGATTAGCCTAGTGAGCCGCAGCATCAGCCAAATAAATCTTTATTTTTTTAAAGATTTATTTATTCACTTGAAAGTCAGAGTTACACACAGAGAGATGGAGAGGCAGAGAGAAGTCTATCCATCTGCTGGTTCACTCCCCGATTGGCCGGGGCTGCATCGATCCAAAGCCATGAGCCAAGAGCTTCCTCCAGGTCTCCCACTCGGGTGCAGGGGCCCAAGGACTTGGGCCATCTTCTACTGCTTTCCCAGGCCATAGCAGAGAGCTGAATTGGAAATGGAGCAGTCGGGACTCAAACCGGTGCCCATATGGGACTAGAACCCGGGGTGCCAGCGCTGCAGGTGGAGGATTAGCCTAGTGAGCTGCGGCGCCGGCCTGAAAGGATTTATTTCTAAGAGTGATAGATATGTACCCCTGGGTTAGAGAAGAAAATACACTCCACTCCTGCTGCTAGACTTACAGTGGAGGAATTTATAGGTGGAATACTTTCCAAGAAATTTCCAGTATGGCTCTTATGGAGAAGTAGCATTGTTGTAACACGGGAGAAGGCGGAGGAAACAGCTGGGTCTGTAATGTTTATTGCCTGGTTTCCGTGCACCAAGAGCTGTAGCAGCTGCTCTAGATAGGGTTGGGACTTTAGGCTGCTCACTGTTTATCCACCTGGAGGGGACGGTGACTAGGACTAGGACTCTGCTCCAGTTCTGTGCCTGAAGTTGAGCAGCTCCGTGGAGGATCACAAAGGGGATTTCAGTGACAGACTTGACAGAACATGTTCTTTTTTTTTTTAAGATTTATTTTATTTTTTAAAGATTTATTTATTTATTTGAAAGCCAGAGTTTCAGAGAGAGAGGAGAGGCAGAGAGAGGTCTTCCATCCGATGGTTCACTCCCCAGTTGGCTTCAACAGCCGGAGCTGCACCTATCCGAAGCCAGGAGCTTCTTCCGGGTCTCCCACGCGGGTGCAGGACCCCAAGGACTTGGGCCATCTTCTACTGCTTTCCCAGGCAATAGCAGAGAGCTGGATCAGAAGAGGAGCAGCCGGGACTCGAACTGGTGCCCATATGGGATGCCGGGGCTTCAGCCGAGGGTGTTAACCCACTGTACCACAGCGCCATCCCCAGAACATGTTCTTGTTCTTTGTACCTTCCAATGAAACTGGGGACCAAACCTTACTTATTTTAGGCTGAGAAATCTGTGAACTATATCAATTCTGTTTTGGTTTAATTCTCCATTAGTTTTGGTTTTATTTGGTAGTATTCCTGTGAAAATATACAGTTTGTGGCCAGTGCCGCGGCTCACTAGGCTAATCCTCCGCCTTGCGGCGCCGGCACACCGGGTTCTAGTCCCGGTCGGGGTGCCGGATTCTGTCCCGGTTGCCCCTCTTCCAGGCCAGCTCTCTGCTGTGGCCAGGGAGTGTAGTGGAGGATGGCCCAAGTACCTGGGCCCTGCACCCCATGGGAGACCACAAGAAGCACCTAGCTCGGCAGTTTGCCTTTAACTGGTGATTACCAAAGTCCAAACTGCCCACATCTTGCCTGTGCTAATGCATTCGTTTCTGTGCTGGTCTACCGGATTCTTACTGTCTGATAAATCATTCCTGGCATCAAATTTTTAAAATTTAAAAAGTTTAGATCTCATTAACTCCTGGTTTCTGCCTGTCTTTTCAGCCTCATCTCTCTTGGCACAGGTGTGGCTCCAGTGGCAAAGCCTGCCAGTGACGCTCCAGTGGCCAGGGATGACGCTCCACCCACCAATGACAAAGCTCCACCCATCAGTGATGACACTCCAGAGGCCAGTGACAAAGCTCCAGCGGCCAGTGAGCCTTTTCTCACTTCTTTACATATGCCATGCTTATTGCTTATTGCCTCCCCTTTATCTGGTGCCGTTTCTTCGTAATTCTGGTGGCTGACTCTCAGCCTTAACTAAAGTGTCCAGACCAGAGGTCTTCCTTGAACACCTAATATGTGGTCTTACTCATTGTCCCTCCCAACAATTTGATTTATTTTCATCGTAGAATTTAGCTATATAAGGTCATGTATGTATGTATGTATGTATGTATTTTGTCTCTTATAGAAGACCCATCCCCAACACCCTCATGTATAATTTAGAAGTAAACTTCAGGAAGTCACGGTCCTTGTTGATTGTGTCACTGCTGTTTTATAACTACGGTCTGACCAGGTCCCAAGAGGTCTTGTCAGTCCTGGTGAAGACTCCAAGGGGAGCAGACAGCCCGGGAGCACAGGTGAGATGCGAACCCTGGCAGGGGGGACAGGGCGGCTTGGGAGTCAGCCGCTTGGCTCTGCTGCCTTCCTGCACTCAGCCTGCACCAGTTCCTCTTTTCCCATTGGAGGATATTTACCAGTAGAAGATACCCAGGGCAGAAAGACAAGGAAGTGTGGGCCATCTCCTGGATCCGATGTCATTCCTGGTACCGAGAGAGTCTGAGGGAAGCATGCTTTGCAGAGGAGATCTGGAAAGGCTCCAAGTTCACATAAGATTCTTTGTTGATGTACAAATCCCGAAACTCTTTTATGTAGTTGTAGCCCATTTGAAAGTACAGTTTTGTGTTCTCCTCATGGAGCCTTGCCCATACGTATTGCCACACATAATAGATTTTTGTACATGTTGTCTTCAGTGAAAGCATTAGTCAAGTAGTTCTCCATCTTTCCTTAATCAGCTCTCAGTTTTAGGGAAGTTACATACTTTCAACTTCCCTGATATACAAAATGAGGCTCTAAACGTATTTGTACAAATTGCTCCTCCTCTCTTTTGAATTATTCCTTTGTGGCACATTTAACAAAACGGAATTATTGGATCAAACAGTAGGAGACATTTTATAGCTCTTGTTAGTGCCAAATGAGGCAATATTTGGAGGGCAGGGGTCATGAAACTCTTATAAAATATTTAAAGATTGGTTATGAAGAGGAATTTGACTTATTCCGATGGCGCACCATGGCAGGGTGACAGGGAAATCTTGCAAATATACAGAAATAGATAAGGTCCTATGCAAAAGAGTTTTTAACATTTAGAGCTGCCCCAAATGGGACAAACTTTTTCCATAGATAGTAAGTCCCCCTTTGCTGAGAATTTTAAGCATAATGAGTTTAAGAAATAGAGAGATTGCTTTCTAAGCTCTTCTGATTTGTGATCTGTATATTTCCCTAGCCTCATTCCTTTGCGCCAAAACAGTTTGTTAAACGAGCATTTATTAATACATAACACGTTGCAGCTGCGTAGCTGCAGCCTCAAGCCCTCACTGACAGACGTCTAGCAGATCCAGAGTCTCCTGCGGCATCCAATCTGGGGATTCCAACGGCAGTGAAGCCAGAGCCTTCCACTGCCCCACACTCGAGAACGGCCAAGTGGGTGGGTCAAGGTGCTCCACTTCCTGGACATCTCCTTTTCTGTGCTCCTGGTCTTCCTACAGATCTCTGTTCACACTGCTCCTCTCCTACGACCCCCAGCACCAAGCTCTGCATGTGCTGTGTGGAGCCAAGCCCAGCACCCACGGGATTGACTCCAAAGGATTGTTACATTATCTTGTTTTATTTCTGTGAAAAGACATTTGCATTTCAGATGAGGAGTTTGGAACTCCAAAGAATCTGTAATTGGGGGAAGCCAGCACTCCTAATTTAGCTCCCACCATGAACACATGTTTACACACACTCTGTCTCTTCCAGGCAAACACTAGAAGTTCATTTCTTGAATGAACCATTGCTTAACAACCTTTTTTCTTTCCTTTTTTTTTTTTTTTTTGTAAAACTACTTTGCGTGGTAAAATATAGTCTCAAAATTCCAAGTTTGGCCTAGGAGGAAAAGTCCCCATTGAGAATGGAGTCTCAACCATAATCTCAGAATTATGCTTTTTCTATTTTATTTTATTTTATTTTAATTTTATTTTTTGACAGGCAGAGTTAGACAGTGAGAGAGAGAGAGAGAAAGGTCTTCCTTTTTCCGTTGGTTCACCCCCAAAGTGGCCGCCATGGCCAGCGTGTTGTGGCCGCACGCTGCACTGATCTGATTAGCCTAGTGAGCTGTGGCGCCAGCCTTTGCTTTTCCTTAGAGCATATGTTGCTGAATTCTTCTGCCACCACCACACTGGCCTCTGGGAAGGCCCCTTCCCCTCTCGCAGTTCCTCCAGAGTGCATGTGAGACTGTCCCCAAGCCAGGAGAAGAACCCGTCTGTAGGCCTCACAGTGCAGACGGAGGAGAGCACAGGGGTGAGCTGGAAACCTGGGCTCCATTCCAATGGCCCCAGTGGCACCACTGCCGCCTGCACGCGCTTGAGCCTGAGCCTTGGCCGCTGCGTCATCGGTGGCCTCCTTCCCTTCTGAAAGGCTCAGTAAAGTCAACAACCATGGGAACACTTTGCAAATATCATGGCCACAGCCAACTGTGCCGTGTGAACATGCTGCAGAGAATGGGTGGGTCTTGTCTTGTCAATATGAGTTTTTAAAATGTCTCCTTTGTGCCCAACAGAGAATATTTAGAGGGCTGTTTGGCTTTTTAAAATTTGTGTTCCTTATGTTGAAGCTGTGAATCAGAAGCCTAGTTCTCCCTTAAGCTTCTATTTGTAATGAACAAAGAAATAAAATCTAACAATTGAAGATTGCATTTGGTGACTACTTGATACCAGCTATAAAGTAATTAATGCAACTCTTCAAACATTAAAGAATATTTTATAAGTTTAACATGTCCCACATTACAACATAATTAGAATTTCTGAGTTAACCAACAAAACATTCCTGAATACCTAAAAATCCTTTAAATCTAGCAATTTATAGAGTGATTTGATTCTTATGTTTTCTTAAATGTTCCAAAACTGATTTTAAAGGAAAGTACCATTTCAAGTCATGCACAGTTTGGAATAGAATTACAAAATTAATTTGCTACCATAGCACACTAAATTCTCTTAAACACTGCAAATACTGAAAATACCAAGTGTATGCATGTTCCTTGATACAAAGATATTAATGCCATGTACTTGCTTCTTTTAATACTTCTGTCCGTAATTCTAAGTTTTATGGCTATTAAAGCATACTTACCCCCTAGGAAATAATCCTGTCATCCTGAGTAGCTGGGACGCCCGTTCCGGGTGATTTTTTGGAAATGCATTCTCAGCAGCCCGAGAGGACACCCAGTAGAGGTTTGGTCCCCAGGCTTTCAGGCAACACTTTTCAGACCCCCAGCTGCCTCCACTGAACTCTGTCTTATGGGTGCTATGTCATTACCCTGTGAGTGGGCCAGTTGTACAGCCCTCGGCCCCTAGATTCAAATTACACTCCATCCAATTCCTCGGCCTACACACGGAAGTCAGGAACTCCTACTCAGGTTGCTACACCACTTGCTTGGATATAATTAGTGTACTTAGAGGTTCATTGTGTTCTATATTCTTACCAGCTTCTCTGGCCATGGCTCTTACAGATGCTGAACCTCTCCTGGTGTTGCCTGCCTCTGGGTATCTTATTGATAGCACTTTATAGGTATTGTTTATCCTTGCTTCCCAGAGGAGTTAGTTAATACAGTATTGCTCCAGCCTGGGCGTGTTTGCTTTGCCCCCAATCATAGCCCCATCCAACATGGGCACATGTTAGGAACCCACTGCTGTTCAGTGAAATGGAAAGAGAACCCAAGCACTTTTGTGCCCTCTTGAGGCAGTACCTGGGATAAGTGGGTAATTATTGAAAAACTCAAGCAAAAAGAATAAGTTGACACCGATGTCTCTTAGATTAGGATGGTGAATGACTGAGTGTGATATTTCCACCAACCAAGACTCAGGGATTGCAGAAGGTCCAGCACATTTGAAAGCCAGGAGCTCGTGGGCTTAGCTCGGCACGTTTGTGGTTGAAAGGCGTTTGGGACACCGAAGGGGGTGGTAATGGTCAGTAGATAGGTGTATGTGCTTAGACCTCATGAGATCTGGCCTGAAGATTGTCTCTGGGAGCAGGTAAGTGGCAGTTAAGTCCGTGGCACTGTATCAGCTCTCTCCAGAAGAGTGTAGTGAGAGAAGAAACAAGGGCTAAGAATAGGACCTTAAGAAACACTGTCATTTAAGGTGCACACACAGGAAGCAGTCTGCCCACGACACTGGGAAGAAGGCTGAGGGGTAGTTGAATGTCTTTTCTCTCTCACTTCCACTGTGTCTTCCCTGATCACGAGCACAGGGGTGGGCAACATGGTAGCAGTGATGGGCAGAGCGTGGTGTGCAAGGGTGGATGCTTTGTGGGAAATTATGGTTGAGGTGGGACGGTGTGGGTGTGAGGCTGCAGTGAGCTCTGTTTCTTGGAGGCGTGGAAGGGTTTGGGAGCTGGAATTTGGATTCTGTGCTTTCTCTGCCACTTCATGTTTCACCCAACATCCTGTCCTTATTCTGAGTCATGGTCTGGGTAGGAGCATCTTTTTCCAAAAGTGAAAAGGCAATGTGAGGAGGAAGCAGAGAAAGGAGGGAGTGAGAGGAGGTACCTTGCTATTAAGGGTGCATACATGTGTAGCCCACACAGGTGCACAGGTGTGAGTATGTGTCCCTGTGTACGTACGTATGTCAACTATGTGATGTGTTTCTCTGTGTGAATATCTATCATGATGTTCACTTATTTTCTTGTATCTGTATATTCTATTTCATGTCCTAGTCATTCATTTATTGTATCCCACAAAAGTATTTTTCTATGGCAGACTGCATACAAAACTGCTCCTTCACTATAGTTAGAGAAGCACTAATAAAGATTGGGTCAAGATTCTTGGTAGGGCCTGATTCTGAAACCCCCAAGGAGGGGCAATTCACTTCTGAAGGCTGAGGCCCCTGCTTTGGATCCTGCCATTGGGGCATGATTTTCAAGGGGGTCAGGCCTCAGACCTGACCGGCTTCCTGGGGCTTGGCCTGTTCTTCTTCCTCCTCTTCACATGGGGTAGGACCACCAGACAGCTCTCAAGGGCATGGATGACAGAATCAAGGCCAACCCTGCAAGGCTGTGTCTGCACTGAACACTGTCCTCTCTCCTGCCTGTAGGGCGGGGAAGCTGACACCTCATGGAGATAAAGTGTTCCAGGCCCTCTGAATGAGAGCTCTAAACCTCACAGCTCCACCTCTCCCCTCCCCCCAGACAGCAACACATTCAATCAGCAATAGTAGAGTCTTTTATTTCAGCGAAACCAGATACATTCCTTTGCCCAGCACAAGATTCTCCTGCCCTTCTTTGAGCTATCTAATCACTGCCCTGACTTATTTTTGCACTTGCAATTCTACGTTCTTTTTCTTTAAGAGGGTCTCCAGAGTTATATAAGTCAGAGGCCTCACAAAACCTGGATCCATCCTTCTGAGATCCTGTGTGCTTGACTCTGGAAGGGTCACGCAGTACCACACACCGAGAAAGCAAAGGAAGCAACAAGAGGGCTAAAGAGAAGGATCCTTCTCTCTCATCATTTGGATACCCATAAACCCCCTAAGGAATCAAGAGCATGTGAGGTTGGGTTTGTGGGCGGGAAATGGTATTTGCAAAGGGGGTAAGGCTTAGTAAGGGATTCAAGAGAGGAAAGGAAATGTAGCAGCAGCAGAAAGCGTCCGCAGAGCTTGCGGGGCCTGGGGAGAGCGAGCCTTACACAACTTTATCAAAGTGCACAGGGAGCAGTGGATATGATGAGTCGTCTTTTGTTTGTGGAGGGTCACAGGCCACAATGAAGGATGCATATTTTTCTGTTTGCTTGTACTTGCAATCTGGATACGACCCTGACACATGCTGACAATTGGTCATGGACACGGGCCCCGGGCTCTGGTGGCAGTTGTTACGACCATTCTTGCAGGCTACATTGGGGGTGTCACAGGTAGGGATCACGCTGGTGAAGGACTCGTGCAGGAAGGTGTTGAGGTTTTTGCATTGTTTTGTGTACTGGTTGATGCGGCTCATCGCTGAGTTGCATGGTTGAGGGGTGGGCTGCACGTGCTGAGTTTCAAACCACTGAGCGGAGGTCATGTCCTTGGGCTTGGCAGTGACTGGGTACTCGGCCACCCACAGGCCCAGCAGCAGGAGCAGCAGCAGGGATCGGAACTCTGTCTTGGCTGGTGCCATCTTTCCTAAGAGGGGACAGTAAAACAGAGGGCAGATAGATGGGTGAGCAAGTCATCAAGGGGGAAGTCCTGCTGGTCCCTCTAAGATTGTCAATGATTGCAGGGCTCCTGCAGCCAAGATAAGTAAGAGCATCACTGACATTTTATGATTCAGTTCCAGCAGGTAGTGTGCCTCTTAATGTCTCCGATAAGCACACACATTGTTTATGCCTTAGAACAGCTTCAGGAGGTGTGAGTGCGGTCACCCTTCATGTGCTGACTCAGGGAAGTTAAGGAAACCCCTACCCTTACCCAGCTGGACAGTGTGAAATTTAGGGTTGAATCGAAGCCCCTAGTTTCCAAAGCACCTATTCGTTCTAGATGCCTATGTTTCTGTCCGTCTTAAAGATACTCTATTTTAAAATATTTTTTTAAAAAAAATTTTATTTGAAAGGGAGAGGTTCTTAGTTCTTGACTGAAATGCCCCTCCTGGCATGTCACATGTATTCTGTTCATGAAAGTTTACTTCCTGCTACTCTCCATCACACAGTCAAAATTCTTCTCTTGTGTGAAGACAAGGACCTCTGATCCAGCTGTCATTGGTATCAGCTCTTTTTTTTTTTTTTCTTTTTTCATTTGAAAGGCAGAGCCACAGAGAGGCAGAGAGACAGGGAGAGAGAGGTCTTCCATCCACTGGTTCATTTCCCAAATGGCCACAACAGCCAGAGTTGGGCTGATTCAAAACCAGGAGCCAGGAGTTTCTTCTAGGTCTCCCATGCGGGTGCAGGGGCCCAAGCACTTGGGCCATCCTCTACTGCCCTCCCAGGCCACAGCAGAGAGCTGGATCAGAAGTGGAGCAGCCAGGACTTGAACTGGTGCCATATGGGACGCTAGCACTGTGGGGAGCAGCTTTACCCCCTGTGCCACAGTGCTGGGCCCCTGGTATCAGTTCTATATCATCCTGAACCCTGTCATCTTCATAGCACTTAGTTGGGATGGGCTCTTGTAACAAAAGAGATTAACAAGAGAAAAACCAGCAAGTTTCTTTTTTAAAAAATTTTTTTAAATGTTTCTTTTTGTTTTCTTTTCTATAAGACAGAGTTACAGACAAAAAGAGGGAAAGATAGAAAGATCTTCCATCCGCTGGTTCACTCCCCAAATGACTACAATGGCTAGAGCTGTGCTGATCCAAAGCCAGGAGCCAGGAGCTCCTTCTAGATCTCCCACACAGGTACAGGGGCCCAAGGACTTGGGCCATCTTCTACTGCTTTCTTAGGCCGTAGCAGAGAGCTGGATCCAGAAGTGGAGCAGCTGGGACTTGACTGGCACCCATATGGGATACCGGCACTGCAGACAGAGGCCTAAGCCCACTATGCCACAACGTCAGCCCCACCAGCAAGTTTATTAACACGTGCACTTGTTAATAACATGTAATAGTGATTCCCAGAGAAATGAGCCAAATCTCAAAGAGGTGGCTTTGAATTCAGGCTTCAATATCATCATCCACTGAAACAAGATGGCGAAGACCTACAGAAAGTGACCAGAGAAAGTGCAGTAAGCAATAGAAAGCTTCCTTGTGCAGATGTAAGTCCGTGCTTCTCTGTTGGAGAAGAGACTGTCCAGTGATTTAGAGTCTTGCTTCCCTTCCAGATGGAGATTTGCTTGATAGATGGAAATTTCCTGTACAGAAGAGGAACCTCTCCCACATCTGGGAGGAGATCAGGTCATGAGGCCGCTGTCCTCACAATGGGGTTGGTGCCCTTAGGAAGGGAGCCCAGGAGAACCCCGGTGTGGGGACAGAGAGAAGCAGAAAGGGGGCCCTGCCAGACCCTGAGACTTCCCAGCTCCCTGAACTCTGAGAAATGCATTTCTATTGTTTAGAAATTACTCAGCCTGTGGTACTTGGTTAGTGCAAGGTTAGCAGACTAAGATCTTCCAAACTGGAATACAGACTCATTCTGGATAGAGACCCTAATGTCTGTGATTTGTAATTCTCAAACCCTGTTGCCACACTATTGATGTGGGCTAAGCAGAGACTCAGTGAGGGACAAGAAGCTAAGGATTGCCAACATCCAAACATGCTCACTGCCCGAATCCCATCACCTCTCATGCTGGTTCAGCTTGGCCGAAGGCTCGGCACACCCACTCCTCATCAGTCCCTCACCCAAGCCGCACTTTCCATCAGGCACCGGATGCCCGTGCTGTGACACCTTCCTGGAGACCATGTGTGCTGTGGCTGCAACCCAAACCCTGCCTCCTTTGGACATTCCATCAGGCCCTGTCCCAAGCACTACCCCTAAACCTTTGAAAAGTATGGCCCCAGGTTGTATGGGGGCAATTCTCCTCTCCAGGTTGCTGGTACTCACTGAGTATGTGCTATCTCTTTGCCTTTTAATAAGTCCTGCTTTCCTACTCACCTCTTAGAGAGAGCAAGAGTGAGAGAGAGAGAGAGAGAAAGGCTTAGACAACTTTCATCTATGATTCATTCTCCAGATATTTGCAAAGCTGAGACTGGGCAAGGCTAAAGCCAGGAGCCTGGAACTCAGTCTGGTGTCCCATTTGGGTGACAAGGACCCAAGTACTTGAGCCATCAACTGCTGCCTCCCAGAGTGCAAATTTGCAGGATGCTGGAATCAAAGGTGGAGCTGGGACTCGAACCAGGTACTCAGAAATGGGATATGGGCATCCCAAGTGGCATCTTAAGTGCTGTGCCACATGCTCCCTTGCCATGTTTCTTCTTTGAATCTCTGAGAACTTATCACAAAAAAACTAATCTTTGACGAGAAACAGGCCAAGAGTCCATCCCCCACTATCCCAGACTAGCTTAGGTGTTCCTGAAGAGTTGGTTTTAAGGTTATGCTGTGGCCGGTGCCATGGCTCACTAGGCTAATCCTCTGCCTGTGGCGCTGGCACCTCGGGTTCTAGTCCCGGTTGGGGTGCTGGTTCTGTCCCGGTTGCTCCTCTTCCAGTCCAGCTCTCTGCTGTGGCCCGGGAGTGCAGTGGAGGATGGCCCAAGTACTTGGGCCCTGCACCCGCATGGGAGACCAGGAGGAAGCACCTGGCTCCTGGCTTTGGATTGGCACAGTGCGCCGGCCATAGCGGCCATCTGTGGGGTGAACCAACGGAAGGAAGACCTTTCTCTCTGTCTCTCACTGTTTAACTCTGCCTGTCAAAAAAAAAAAAAAAAAAAAAAAAAGTTATGCCGTCAGAAGACCAGTTCTCCATTCTGTGGGCCAGTTTCTCGCTGAAGTTAGGAAGAAACAGTTGCTCCTGGTAAGAGAATCATGTTCCAGCCGGCAAAGCTGTGTGGTGAGCCGGGTTCTTTCCATACCTGACATTTTGCCCTGTTGGAGGATGTCTTGGAATGATAGGAGGCCAGAGCTGGAAGAGACGTTAGAGATAATTTCACTCAACTCCCTCATTTTGCAGATGAAGGAAATCAAGTTCCTGAAAGGGCAAGCGCCCTCCCTAGGGCCACCGAGTGAGTGGCAGGGCTGGGGCCAGGAGCTTCCTGACTTTCGACCCATCCCTTTGGTCTAGTGCCAAGCTGAAAAGGGAGGGAGAAAAAATTTTCTATAGTAACAGCGCACAGTCAGTGTGTCTCTGTGGCTCTAGATAATGCATGAACATTCCTTAAATAACTCTCTTTTAATCCTTCTGTAACATTTAGAAGAAAATCTCCCTTTGAGCAAAAATGTAAATTTTTAAATACTTTCTGACATTTGTTTGTTCTCCTTTTTAATAGAGACAACTGGCCTTAGGCTGAATCTTCAGCTGAAAATAATATCTGGATTGAAACTAAACAAATTGGAGATGAGCATTTGGCCTAATAGTTAAGACACTCCCATATTAGTGCGTTTGAATTTGAATCCTAACTGTTCCCAATTCCAGCTTTCTGCCAATGCAGACCTTGGGAGGCAGCAATGATGGCTCAAGTAATTGGGCTCCTGCCACTCAAGGGGGAGATCTGGATTAAATTCCTGGCTTCTGGCTTTGGCTTGGCCCAGCCTCTGCTGTTGTAGGCATTTGAGGTATGAACCAGCAGATGGGAGCTCTCTGTCTCTGTCTCTCTGCCTCTCAAATAAATAAAAATAAACAAATGGATTACATTCTTATACTTATTTTTGTTTCTGTTTATTAAGTAACACTAGATTCTGTGAAAGGTGGTGTTACAGTTTCAATTCATTTCCATTTAGTAAATCTATATTGAGTAAGTTACAATACTGGAGATGAGTGGACATTGCAAAAACTGTCCAGGGAGAAAGTGAATGACCGCACCTGGGGAGCTCGCTCTGTGCCAGTCTCAGGTCTGTGGCTCATGTGTTGGACGCCGTCCAGCATCTGCTGGGATTTGTATGATTTCTCTTTCTTTGAGATAAAATGTTCCCCAAGGTGGCAAAAATCACAAAGCTCCTAGGATCTGTGCTTCTGAGTGTAGAACTTATAAGACATTTGTGCCTCTTCCCCAAGGTAGAGCCTAGTTCACCACCCGAACTCACCCTTTCCACTGTGGGGGTCCCTTCAGGCACTGCTCCCCACAAAGCAAACATTGATTTTTGAACCCAGAAAACAGTTGAGCTGAGCACCAGGGAGCAAATCTCTGAAAAATTTCCTTCTCTGGGAAGTTATTTCTCTCTGGCAGGCTGTCATCTGAGCCGCTCCCATGCATCAGGATGGAAAGATTACCAAGTGATTATTCATTTTGCAGACCCAAGTCCGCCAGCCTTTAGACCGAGAGGGTGGGGATGGTAGCGATTGCAGAGGGCTGGTCTAGACATTTCCTGCTGACCACCGGTGACTGTCCACAGCTTTTACAAGCTCTGGATCTAATTAAGCTGCAAATGTGCTTTCCCTCATGTAGATGCTGGCCTTGCAGCTGGCCAGCCTCACCCAGAGAGACCTGAGGAGGGGGTGCCTTTGGTGTGTGTTTTGATCCTGGCCGTTCATCATGAGTTTTCCCAGCTGCCACAGTCTCAAGGCTGTTCTTATCCATTGAGTACTCATTGTCTAGAGCCTGGGAGGTTTTCAAGAGCCTACAGTATTTGAGACTGAGAAAAAAATTACATTGGGTCCAATACATAAAAACCCATACAAAATCAAATTCAAAATATTTACTTACCTGCTACCAAGTAACATAAAGTTGATATAATTTACCTTGGAATTTGGCATGAATAAAAAGTTCACTACATGGGGCTGGCACTGTGGTGCAGTGGGTTAAAGCCCTGGCCTGCAGCGCCAGCATCCCATATGGGTTCGAGTCCTGGCTGCTCCACTTCTGATCCAGTTTCCTGCTGATGTGCCTGGGCAAGCAGTGGAGGATAGACCAAGTGCTTGGGCCCCTGCACACATGTGGGAGACCTGGAACAAACTTCTGGCTCCTGGATTTGGATCAGCCCAGCTCTGGATGTTGTGGCCATTTGGGGACTGACCCAGTGGATGAAAGACCTCTCCTCTGTCTCTACCTCTCTCTATAACTCTATCTTTCCAATAAATAAAATAAAGCTTTAAAAAATGTTCTTGGAAAAAATGGAATTAAAAGATAAGTTTATTTTAAAAAAGTTCATTACACTGGGAACTGATCTGAGTTTAGATGTTCTCATTTTACAGGAACTCCCAAGTACTATGAGTGAAGAGGGAGCAATGTCAATCAGGAATTACTTGTGAAATAATTCAAAAATAAAACTTTAAAAATATTTATAGATGCGTTTCTGCAAAAATGATACTGAATTGTGAATATACATGTAGATTTCACATATTCAGCGTGGTGTATTGCAATGTTAAAATGCTTGAGAGAATGACAGTGTAGAGTAACTACTTCACTAAAGGCGACCAGGATAATATGTACCTCAGTACTCAAGGTTTGGGTCAGAATAGGGCTTTCCAAAAGCAGCAGGAGGAATGATTTTTTCTTCTACTTCATCCCCATACTAATTAGTAGGCCATATACAAGTACCCAGCCTGTTCAAAGCATGAGGGGAACAGGAGTCCCGTAGTCTTGTTGGTACTCTGGTATGCATGCTGTCTGAGTATCTCTCATCACCTCCTAACTGCCTCCTTGCTGACTCTTTCCCCCAAGTCTAACTGAGCATATATAATACTGTTGGGTGAGTCTTGGGAAATATTCCTTTCTCTACCTTGTTTCTCTGCTAAGAACTCCCAGTGGTTCTGCTGCGCAGGGTCGCACCCAGCCTCCCCAGTACGGCATCAGTGTGACTCCTGCTCAGCCCAGGTCCTATCCACACGCGCTTTCCCAATAGCCTCTCTCATTTCTCTCCAATCACAGTTGACCCCAGGAAAATTGTTGGGGTGTAATAGACTGGTCTTCCTTTTGTCTCGAAGACAACTTGTCTTCGACTTTACTTTTGTTTTTTTCTCTTCACCGAGAGCCCAGCTCCTGGCTAGCTGGCCCACAGAGGCCCACAGTAACCATGTATCCAAGCCAGTCATCACCCCAGTCCTGTCTGTCTCTTCATCACTTATAACATGAAGTGTCTCAATTGAATGATTTCTAAAATTCCCACACCGCAAGTGCCAGGCTGGAGTATACAGAAAGGCCTAAAGAAGACCCCGAGGTGGCTTGAAAGAAGGATTAGCGAATAAGCAACACTCCTCCCTAAGCCAGTTTTTCTCAGGATACTCCAGGAAGGTAGATAATGCCAGGAAGCTCCATCTGGCTTGCTGGGCTAAAGGGCAGCAGCACCAGGAGGGCAGTAGTCTCAGAGCAGGTGCACCCCAGGAAGATTCTTCAGGCTCCAAAGAGCCGCCTGGTGGTGTCTTCAGGAAGAAGGAGGGTTCTGGAGCAGCAGGGTTGCTGCAGCAGGGACCAAGGCCCCTCCAAATGACCAGGGGTGCTGAGGGGGAAATGAGGTATACACTGTCCACTCCTCTGCCCATATGGAAGTGGCCAGAACTGGCTCCTGGCCCCTCAGTACAGGACAGTGGTGGGCCGTGTTTACAGAGGAAACTCCCGCGGCTGATGGGTTAAAAGCTACACTGCTCTGATAAGGTACTAAGGACAGTGTGGGAGAACTGTTGCTGATGATTCTGTCTGTGGGCTCCAAGGCTGAGATAAGCTGGGAAGCAAGGCACAGTGTTCGTTAGCCTCAGGAGGCAAGTGTTGTTACTCTGGATGCAATATGCAGTATAGAATATTTTCAGCTAAACTGCTAAACTGTTCACCTATCCATGGTAGGCTGCTTCCCGGTCCCTCAGTAGAGGGCAGTAGAGGAGTTAGGACAGGTGACTTAAAGGAGCACATTTTCCTGGCAGTGGATTGCCCTGAGGTCCCGGTATTTGACCATTTGACCTGTTATTATTCTTGGCTGAGAAACATTCATTACAATGTTAATTAACACATGAGATTGTGGCTGTGACTATTTAGCATCACAATTACTTTTTTTAGTATAAGCAACAATATCACTGGGAGGGAGGGAGGAAGGAAAAGATGGATAGAAGGCAAACTGTGTAGTGGGGCTGGGAAAGCCAAGAGAGAAACCAGAGCATGGAGAGATTGCAGGGCAGTGTCATCCTTCCCCCCCTCCCCCCCCAGCAGCTCTTGAGAACAACAGAATTCTGACTATTTCAGTGCTCTCCTCCCACTGTTTTCCTAGAAACTGAGGTTAGAAATTAACTGAGGTTAATAACTGAGTTAATAATCAGGACAGGGGAGCCACTTTAGTCTCAGGTTGAGGGAGAAACTTTTCAGAAGCTTCCACAAGTTAGACTAAATCCCTTCAGGAGGGATTCTCCTCCACATGGGCCCTGGGGTCTGAAGGCCCATGGCCGTGAGAATGGCTTATGAGCGGGACCCTGGCTTATGAGCTGAGCCTCTGCGCTCCATTACAAGAAATACGGTTGTCTCATTCCTTCTGGGAAGCCTCTCTCTCTTTCCCGTGACTCATCATGTCTGCCACTCATTTCTTTTTTTCTTTCCTGTGTAATTCTTTGGGGTTTTTCTCAGAGTGCCCATTCTCACCAAGGCCTTGCCTCAGCAGGTACACTGTCTTCCTTCATTCCTGCCCCTGGACTTGTCCTCCTGAGGAAGAGGGTGTGGTCTTTAACCCAACCAGAGTTGAGGCCTGTGGTTTCTCTCCCATGCCTGCTCTGGCCTTGCACTCACAAGCCAAGTGCAGCCCTCAGACCTCCCAGGTATGACAATGGTGACAATGAGCGAAGCACTCACAGCTAACACTTACTGAGGGCTTTCTGTGTTCCTGTCACTGCTCCTAGTGCTTTGTGTCTATTTTCCCATTTTTTGGATGTGAGGGACCTTCTGACTACCCTAGCCCCGAGAGCATCCTTCTTCCTCATCCAGTTTTTCTAGTGAAATACTGGCCAGAGATAACAAACTCATGCAGAGCAAGTTAAGCCAAACCTCACGAAGGTCAGGATTCTCCTATCTTCGGCACAACCAAGGTGGGCACAGAGGAGTCACACAGTTATAGGATGAAGAAGCATATTTCTTTCATATTTTACTAAAAGTGCTTGAGGTGCTTTTAAATTACTTGATTATTTTTTATAGACAATAAAACTGCGTGATGGAGTATGTTGAAACATTCAATGGCATAACATTTAACAATAAATTTAAACATCTTTATGTTGAAATAATTTAAAATTCTGCAAAAGCACACAGATTTCTCCTTTATGTTCCATCCAAATTCCCCAATTATTAACATTCCCTTGAGCTACTTGAGAACAACTTACACACAAGGTGCCCATTACCCCTTAATACGCCAGTGACTATTTCTTAATTATTAATATCCTTGCCCCCAGAACCATAGCAGAGGACCAAAATTAGCATATTGACATGGATTCATTATTAGCACAAGCAAAATTTTAATGTAACACACAAACATCTGACACATGACCATTTTACAAATAATAGTTGAATAAAAGAGATGGCAGAGCAAGCTCAGGCTGTGGAGCACCGCTTCGCCTGTTTTGGGGAATTCTCCTCTGCCCTTACTAGCATTTCAGGGGCAAGTCTGAGAAGTATTGCTCCACCAACTCGAGTCAATGGTGGAAGCCCAGCTCTGGATGTACTCACATGGAGGGTAAAAATGGGGGACCCTTACCAAAGACAAACGCTTCTGGATGTCTCGAAGAGGAGCTCCTCCAAACAGAATCTTGGAAAGGTTTTCCCCTGTCCTTGAGTAGCAGATGGGAGATGAAGGTCTTATTCTTGCTTCATGTCCTTATTTATGTCTCCAACAACCAATGGCATGGCCAGGGATATGCTTGACTGGTTAACCCTCAAGTCCTTGGGTGTTTTTATTATTTTTCCATTTCACTGATACAGGTGAAGGATAGAAATGCAAACATGTCAAGATCATGGGCATTAAATGCTCTTTAGGATAAACATGTTTTTGTCTCAAATCTGGGAATCTGCCCATTCGCAGATTGATTTGTCAGTCTATCACGTTGGATTTAACCCTTGAAAAAGTCTGATATCCATCTGGGACCATGAATTAGAGTTCCAGTTTGGACATATCACTGAATTGGTTCAAAAAACTTGAGTTTTTGCCTAAACTAGCCATGTGGCCTTGGGCACATGTTTAAATCCTTGAGGTCTTATTTTCTCATTGTAAAATTAGGAAGGTATGATTAGGTGATCTCTGAATCACTCGATAGATATCTTGCAACATTATTAATTTTGTCACTATCTTCTGAGACATACATCTGCTAAATGCAAGAGCCTAAGCAAGAATATGTACTAATTCACGAGTGACAATTTGTATTTTAAAATGTTGAAGTTCAACAAAGTTTCTGTGTAAAGAAAGTAATGACTATGCTTTTTTAAAAAAATATTTATTTAGATTAATTTGGAAGACAGAGTTGCAGAGAGAGAGAGAGACAGAGACAGAGACAGAGAGACAGAGAGATCTTCCATTTGCTGGCTTACTCTCTAAATGGCTGCAGCAGCCGTGGCTAGGACAGGCTGAAGCCAGGAGCCAGGAACTCCAGCCAGATCTCCCACATGGGTTCAGGGGTTTAAGAACTCAGGCCATCTTTTGCTGATTTCCCAAGCACATTAGCAGGGAGCTGGATCAGAAGTGGAGCAGCCAGGACTGGAACTGGAACCCATATGGGATACAAGTGTCGCAAGTAGCAGCCCAACCTGCTGTGCTAACAATGCCAGCTTTCATGATTTTTAAAAAAATGTCCAGAGTTCATAGTTATTATTTTTAAAAATTAAAAAATACATTTATTTGAAAATCAGAATTACAGAGAGAGGGGGAAAGACACATAGAGAGATCTTCCATCTGCTAGTTCACTCCCCAGATGCCATGCAATGGCCAGGCCTGGATCAAGCTGAAGCTAAGAGGCAGAAGCTTCTTCCAGGTCTCCCATGTGAGTGGCAGGGGCCCAAACACTTGGGCCTTCTTTTGTTGCTTCTCCCAGGTTCATTAGCAGGGAGCTGGATCAGAAGTGGAGCAGCCAGGACACAAACCAGTACTGGAATTCCAGGATGCTGGAATTGAGGTTGTAGTTTTACCTGCTATTTCACAATTTTGACCCCTATTTTTAAAATTTTTATTTATTTTAACTTTACTTAAAAGACATACACACACAGCGTGGTGGTGGGGGTCTATCATATGTTGGTTCACTTCCCAGATGCCCACAAACAGCCAGGGGTAGGCCAGACTGAAGCCAGGAGCTTAGGACTCAATCTGAGTCTTCCATTTGGGTGGTAGGGACCCAACTACTCGAGCCATCATCTGCTGCCTACCAGTGTGCAACATTAGCAGGAAGCTGAACTGTAGCAGTGGCAGGACTTGAACCATCTGATATAGGATGCAGGTATCCCAAGTGGCAATCTTTCCTCTTTTTTGACAGGCAGAGTGGACAGTGAGAGAGAGAGACAGAGAAAAAGGTCTTCCTTTGCCGTTGGTTCACCCTCCAATGGCTGCCACGGCTGGCGCCCTGCGGCCGGCGCACTGCGCCGATCTGATGGCAAGAGCCAGGTGCTTCTCCTGGTCTCCCATGGGGTGCAGGGCCCAAGAACTTGGGCCATCCTCCACTGCACTCCCTGGCCACAGCAGAGAGCTGGCCTGGAAGAGGGGCAACCGGGACAGAATCCGGCACCCCGACCGGGACTAGAACCCGGTGTGCCGGCGCCGCAAGGCGGAGGATTAGCCTAGTGAGCCGCGGCGCCGGCCCCGAGTGGCAATCTTAATTGCTGCACCAAATGCCCACCCCAGAGTACATATTTTTTTTTTTTAAATTATTTATGTTTATTTATTTGAGAAGAGAGAGCGAGAGCGAGAGTGAGCTCCAATCTAGTTCATTCCCCAAATGCCTGCAATGGCTGAGGCTGGGCTAAGGCCAGTGCAAGGAATCAGGAATGCAATCCCGGTCTCCCATGTAGATGGTAGGAGCATAATTACTTGAGCCATCATTGCTGCTTCCCAGGCTCTACATTAGCAGGAATGCTGAAGTAAGGAGCCAGAGCCTGGAATCAAACACAGGTACTCCAGTTAGGATGCAGGCATCTTAGCTGCTACGCGAGATGCTCACTCTTGACCATGATGCTTTCCCACTGTAATCAACTGTTGGAAAGCAGTGGGACCATGGGCTGTGAACATTGGGGGAGGTTTTGGGAAATTCAGATGAATCAGAGGGAAGGGAAAACATAGGGGTTTTTCATGATGGAACTGAGAGGATAGGAAGCTTACCTAGGGACTAGTTTAAACCTCTTGGGGAGAAAGTTGGAAATGTCGTTAGAGCCTTGTCTTCATTAGTTGCTGTGACGATTGAACCCTTTTGATAGGAGTCATAGCAGAGGGCATGCTAAAAACTTAGTGACTCTGAATCATCCAACTTCTCCTTATCTTTGGATTCATGGATTATGGAGGATAGAGATAAAAAAAACTTAGCTTAAATAAAATAGTCTAAAATATTCTTGGTAGCTTTTTTTTTCATTGCTCCAAATGAAAACATCTACCTTTTTCTGCAAATTACCTTACCTAGAGAAATTAATGCATATTGTCCTTTTAAACTGACCTTGAACCTTACTTTACCTACTCCTGGCTAGGAAGGAGCCTTTTTGGCATAAAGAGGATGAGGAGGAGTTTGGCCTCCTTTGTTTAAATCTTTGTTCTGTCACGGAAGTCAGGCCTGGTCCATTCATCACAGTTTTGGCCACCCAACATTTGACATCACAGTAATAAATATCAATGCTAATACCTCTCAAACTTTCCCTATATGCCAGCCACTGAATTAAGTGTTTTCTAAGTATTGAAACAATTATTCACATAATTCTTTGTGAAGTAGGAGCCTCTGTATGGCAGAGGAAACTCTTACCCCCCCTAGTTAAGAGGTTTTTCTATCATGGGCAGATATCTTTCCTTACCCATGGACTCCCTACAAGGCCTTGATAGCAACATGGACTTTCTCATGCCCCTGCGGCTCCATATCCATTGTCAAGTTTACTGGCTTTGTGGTCCCACCCAGGTGAACCTACTGGTAAAAGCCATAATTGCTCCACTTCCCTTCCCTGCATGGTTAGATGGGGGTAGGAAGAGGACATTGAAGTGAAGCTGTGAAGTCTTTGAAGGACTTTTAGAAGCCCACTTGTGCAGGGGCGTAGGAACAGTGTGGGGCTAGGGACGAAGGCTCTCCTGGAGAGGAGGCTCCCTGGTTGTTGTTGCTGTTGGTGTGTTTTTGCTGCCATTGCTCTAGGGTTATCCCCTGGAGCTATCGACTCTATGAAGAGGGCCAATGTGAAGAGAAGGGCCTTGATCCCAAAGGCATTTCCTCTTCCTACACCCTACCCCTGAGAGCCAGACCCGTCTCTTCACAGATTCAACTGGCCCTCTTCATAATAATGGTGACACATTTACTTCAGGGTATGGAGACTTCTGGGAACCAGGGTCATGCAGAAAAGTCTGATATCTAATTTGCCTCTGATAGTATGACTCCTAGGGAAGCCAGATCATCCGCGCTGCAGCTTTTGGGTTATTCCCTGTCCTGGACTCCATTTCTGTTCCTTAGATCTGGGTTGAAATAATTCTCCAGAAAGCCAGCTACACAAGTCTGGGCATTACTGGACACCCTCTCCCCACTCCAGGCTCCCAGTTCTAGCAACAGAAAACTTACAACCAATCAGTTTCTTTTCTCATTCTTCATCTTTCAAGTGGCAGTGCATTTAGGCTAGTCAGCTTTGGCATTTGGTCTGAATTACTATCATCCTGGACCTGGGCTTTGGCTTTTGGAAGGCTGAATAATCAAATGCCTATTTCAACATTATTCCTGGCATACCTAAACTTGGCTGTGATCAAGGTCATGTGACAGATTGGGTTACTGTCAAATCTAATGAGTTAAAGCATCAGTGATGGGAACAAGACAGGTCATTTGAAGTCACTGTTAATATCTGAATACTCACTTTAAAATATTGGTGAGCATGTACATGTAACTTGGAGTGAAATTTCCCTTAAGAACTTTAGAAAATGTTGAAATTCTGTCAACCAGAAAATGTTTAAATGCATATTTACTATTTTAAGAAAAATGTAGTGGGCTGGCGCTGTGGCTTAATGGGCTAATACTCCGCCTGCGGCACCAGCACCCCAGGTTCTAGTCCCGGTCGGGTCACCGGTTTCTGTCCCGGTTGCTCCTCTTCCAGTCCAGCTCTCTGCTGTGGCCCGGGAGTGCAGTGGAGGATGGCCCAAGTACTTGGGCCCTGCACCCCATGGGAGACCAGGGGGAAGCACCTGGCTCCTGGCTATCGGATCAGCGCGGTGCGCCGGCTGCAGCGGCCATTGTGGGGTGAATCAATGGAAAAGGAAGACCTTTTTCTCTGTCTATCTCTCTCACTGTCCACTCTGCCTGTCAAAAAAAATGTAGTAATAATGAATGGTTGTGAAAACTATAATATTATATATAAAATAATTATTAAGAATTTTCACATTGCTAAAAATTAAGAAGATGAGTTGATAGGTAATATAAACAATAGGAAAATATGTTAGCTAAATAGCTTCAGGAAGAACATTATTTATACTTTTTTGAGCCCACAATACTTATAACCACTTAATAAATAGGGTAAGTACTATTTAACTTAATAATTAGTATAAGACAGAATAGAAATTAGATAATATTGTAATTCTATCTATGATTTAATTATTTCATAGTCTTTTTTTTTTTTTTTTTTTTTGACAAGCAGAGTGGACAGTGAGAGAGAGAGACAGAGAGAAAGGTCTTCCTTTTCCACTGGTTCACCCCCCACCTGGCCACTATGGCTGGCGTGCTGTGCTGATCTGAAGCCAGGAGCCAGGTGCTTCTCCTGGTCTCCATGCAGCTGCAGAGCCCAAGGTCTTGGGCCATCTTCCACTGCACTCCCGGGCCACAGCAGAGAGCTGGACTGGAAGACGGTCAACCAGGACAGAATCCGGCGCCCCGACCGGGACTAGAACCCGGAGTGCTGGCGCCGCAGGCGGAGGATTAGCCTATTGAGCCACAGCGTCAGCCTATTTCATAGTCTTTTTAGAATTGATTGGTGTATTATCATTAATCATGTAAATAAATTCATCCTTAAGAAATATACGTTTTGGAGGATTTTGAAGATTGAGGCATAACTCACATACAGTAAAGTACACAAATTGAAGTGTACATTTCAGTGAGTTTTCACACTCCAAACATATCTGACCCAGGGAAGGACATTTCCAGCTTCTCCAATGTCTCCCCCAGGTCCCTAGGCAGTTAGTGCCTCTCCTGAGGGCTACACCTGCTCTGACCCTTGTTACCATAGATTACTTTAGAACTTTTGACATCCAATATTATTTAGCTCATGAATCTTTCAAGAAGAAATTTTCTAAAAAATATTTATTTTAATTTATTTGAATGGCAGAGTGACAGAGAGATAGGGAGAGCCATAGAGAAAGATTTCCTATCCACTGGTTCACTCCTTACACGGCCATACTATTTGGGGCTGGGCTAGGATGAAGCTAAGGAACCAGGAACTCCATTTGAGGTCTCCCACGTAGGTGGCAGGGTCCCAAGTACTTGAGCCATCTTCTGCTGCCTTCTCATGTGCATTAGCAGGGAGCTGAACTGGAAGCAGAGCCACTGGGACTAGAACAGGCACCCTGATGTGGGAGTCTGGCATCACAAGCTAGGCTTAACTTGCTATGCCACAAAACCAAGAAAAACTTCCATTTTTCAGTTTTTATTTTAGGAGTATGCATTAAATGCATAACTTTAACCAGTTCAAAATTCTGAGGAGGCCATCTCCAAAACCATAATATTGGTAAGGAAAGTCATCTGCGAAGAGTATAAAGAGTTGTGAACAAAGAATAAAGTGGAGAGGAAAATCATCTTCCCCCATTATCTTGCTCTTCTGTGTACCTAAGTTGAAAACCGCCACCTTTCAGAATAGCAAAATGTATATAGTACAGTGAATAGAAGAGTACAAAGCAAATCAAGATTTTTGGATAAACTACAGATTTATTCACATATCTCAGAAGTCCATTTTATGATGGCAATGCTCCAATGCCAGGGCACAGTGATTCTCACAGCTGTTTGGCATTTAACCACGATGTGTATTTACTGTTCTTCTACTTTTAAGCCTCTGGCACAGCCAAGTTGTCAACTTATTGGCTCCATGCTCCGAATTGTCCAATGTTCTTCTCCTGTCTTTTGATCGTCCTTTCTCTACTCGCTCTCCGCTCATCAACTCCAACCACATGTCCCACCTAGCAGGACTCCGCCGGCAGACTTGTTCCCTCGTGCACTCATGACCATTGCTCTGTGAGAAGAAAGCTGCCGAGGAGACTTGACTGCGGTGTTTGCCTTGGTCTCCCTGTTTTCCAAACACAGACAGCACCACCACTGCTTGTTATCCATTTATCTATGGAGTGCCTGCTGGGACTGATCAGAGTTTCATAAATGTAGATCTTCCTGCAATCCTGGGTGGGAGACAGGAACACTCCCATTTTACCCTATGAAAACAGGAGGGTTCAGTAATTTGCTTGAGGTCATGTAGCCGGGAATGACTGAGCCATGATTTACATCCGCTTCTGTTTGCTTCCAGAGCTTACTCTGATGGTGTGGTTAGGGGTGTGGGAGCGGTAGATAAGAGGCGGCACAAAAGTTTAGCAGTGTAGGTGACTCTGAAGTGGGGTGGGCATTGGATGTGGTACAGTTTGGGGCTGAGATAAAAGATGAGGGAGAGTCTGGGGATGGTCAGGGCTGTGGGCACTGTGGAAGGGGCTTTCCGCACTCAGTGCACAGGTACAGCCATGGATTCTCCAGCTCTGCGTGCTACAGAGGGAGACCCGGCATCGGCATCGGCAGCAGGGGTACAGGGAGATGGCATTTCCATATCTCAGCCCCTCAGGGCCGGGCGCACTGCCAGTGTGGAGAGCCAGGGAAACACTTAGGTAGGGGAGATCGCTATCAGGAGGAAGGAAGCTCTGGCAGCTCCCACCAGCCTGTTTGTGACAAGCAGGCTCAGGGCCACGGAAGTCCCTTAAGGTCAAGGGAAACGTGATCCTGGTAGGGGGATGAAGCAGGGACACTCCCCTTACCCTCTGCCTTCAGGCCAAGGGGATCTAGCTAGAGCCAAGCCCAGGGCCCAGGCTGGAAGAAGAGCACTGGGCTAGAGAAAGGGGAGGAACAGCTGGGGTGGGGGTGGGGGAGAGATCCTGGAGCGCCTCATAACGTGTCTCTTGGCTCGCAAGGTAATAGCCTTTTTTTGCAGCCAGCACAGGGTAGCTGGCGTTTCAGAGCTCTGAGGGTGCATTTCTTCACGAGTGAACTCTCACCTAGTTCTCCTCTTGTTCCTGCGATGATCTCCTTGCTTGCCCCACTGGGTGTAGTAGAAACCATCCTATATTTAGAGTTAGGAAACCCAAGTTCAAGTCCAGGTTCTCCTACTAACCAGACCGATCAGCTCTCGAATTAAGCTTTCTGAAATCTGTTTCCTCATTCAACGGCAAAGCACGTAATCCCCGTCAATTCTGTCTCACAAAAGATTAGAGGGCTCACGAAGAGCAGGGCGTGCTATAGAAATATGAAGGGATATTTGTTATCTTCCTTCGTTCTGGCCACCTCTCTCCACACGGGTCACTTCCCTACCGCATCAGAGCTGGAGAAGACTTCTGGCTTAAGAACAAGAACAATTCAGTCCTTAAATCCCACACATTTCTTCCCTCCCCTTGTCAAGATGCCATGATAAGACGGAACAGAGGAGTGATGGGTAAAGGCATAGCCCAGCACTCCCCCTACCCCCAACTAGCTCATCCTCTCTCTGCGGGACACGCTTCTGGGAAAATGGCAGCACACGACGAAGCCCTCACCGGAGCTCAGTTCACCTACAAGTCAGCCTCAAGCCCCGCCCAACCCCCACCCTACCTCTCAAAAGAGCCGGAACCAGGAGATGCCCAGAGATGGGGGGGGGGGGGGAATAATGCTCTGGGTGTAGGAGTTGTAACTCAGAGGTATGGAGAGGAAAGTGAGGCTCAGCCAAAGAGTGAGGAGGTCTGGAAATCTAAAAGACTTTGTCCAAATGCACAGGCAACAGCTTGGAATGCCAAGAGTCCCCTTTCTGGGGAGGGTCACAGGCCACTATGTAAGCTTTCTTCAGGTGCTTCTCTTTATACTTGCAGCCTGGATATGACCCTGAGACATGGGCACACGTGCTCAGGGACACAGGCTGTGGGCTCTTGTGGCAGTTGTTACGGCCATTCTTGCAGGCCACGTTGGGGGTGTTGCAGGTAGGGATCACGCTGGTGAAGGACTCGTGCAGGAAGGTGTTGAGGCTTTTGCAATGCTTTGTGTACTGGTTGATGCGGCTCATCGCTGAGTTGCATGGTTGAGGGGTGGGCTGCACGTGCTGAGTTTCAAACCACTGAGCCGAGGTCATGTTCTTGGGCTTGGCAGTGACTGGACGCTCCGCCACCCACAGGCCCAGCAGCAGGAGCAGCAGCAGGGAGCAGAATCCTACCTGGGCTCGTGTCATCTCTCTTGGGGAGAGCAGTCAGAATGGAGGGTTAGGGTCGCTGGGCACAGACAGCAGAGGGGTGCAGTTGAGAAATCAGGCTTCCTGCCCCTGCTCATTCTAGCTTCTTCTTTCTTCTCTATCTCGCCTCGCCTTCTCCATCTGTGCTTGCTTCTGCCACCGCATCCCCTAGCCCACCCCGCTCACTTCATATCCCTAATCCCCTTCATTCTGTCCCTGTTGCCTCTCACCCTCTGTTCTACCTCTTCTCCCTCACTGTGGCCCCTGTCCCTTCTCTATGTTCCATCTTCTCCAAGTCCCCTTACCCCCCTTCACCATGGCCCTCTCTTCTCCATTTTGTTTGTCTACCCCCAACATCACTCTCCTCTCTTCTTCACTCTCCCTCTCCTCAATGTGTGTCCTCATCCTTCGCCCCCATCCTGAGATGGACTCTGTCCATTTTCCACTTTCTTACTCAGCAGAGGATACTCTTACCTGGTCAGAACCCAGCCCCGTCTCACTCCTCATCAAATCTTGATGTAAGACTCACCTCTTTAGTCCGTGTCCTGCACCTGCTGTTCAGCAGGCTGAGGCTGCAGAGTATCTGGGCTGTAAGATCTCCGAAAGGCTCTTCTCACTGCCCAACTCCTTAAGAGATGGCCTGAGTCTGCCCCTTCTATTTGGCAGCAGGCTGGAACGCAGTCTCTGTGTAAGGAAATGAATCAGGTTCAGGCCTCTCCACTTACGTGTTCCAAATAAGTGGATACCTATGAAGCTACTGGACCTGCCTGAACATGTTTAGCAATGAGGAAGCTTGAATCCTAGCATTCAAAGACTACACTACATTTGGCCCCTGGTCATGTGGTTTTAATGACTTGTTAGTAAAGCACCTGACACAGGTGTCAACCCAAATGAATTTCAGGGACAGTTGTCATTTGTCTTCTCCCCACTATACCCCTGTTCTGTGATCTGGGGGAAAGCCGAACACTGTGGTGCTAAGGGTTGCCTTTTCTCTGACCTGAGGTATTCTAGACAGAATAGCTTAAAGCTGTGTTGGTGTATTGTCACCCAGGCACACTGCTTATCTTTTGGAGGAGATGGAGACAAGGGTAGTGGGTGAGTCATCACAGTCACACGCCCAGCAGCTCAGTGGCTCCAGGGTGACTCACCCCTCAGGGCGCTCCAGCCCCAGGTGCTAAGGCCACCTGTCTTTACCTCGAAAGGCACCCAACACCCCTCCTTCTTACTACTTGCATCCCTACTTCACTGAAAGTTGCAAAACCTAACCATTGTGCAAATATTTGTTCCTCAATGATGTTGATGTTTTTGCTCTCCATATCCTGGCTTAGCCCTTCCTCTAACTGGTGTAGCCTGTTCCTTGATGCAGGGACAGTCTGGGCCAGGGATACACTGGGGTATCCAGGTGCTTGGAATGTGACGCTCAGGAGAAACGAGATACCAAGGCACAGGAGCATCACCACCTCTGAGTGGGAAGGCCTGGAAAACAGAGATGAATAGTATTTTTGTTTTCAGAATCCACCTGTTAGGCAATTTCCAAATCTTAGGTTCTGCTTTCTTTCATGTAGTTAGCACATATATGAGAGCGAAGAAGGTACTATGTACCAAACTGCTTAAGTGAACCAGGGAGATGAAATAAAGGCGTACTTTTGTTGAGCTTACATTCCACTGGGTCAAGACAGAAAAAACAATCCACAAGTGACCCTTGCTAAGGAAGAAAGTAGTTCAGGAGAGGTGTTGGTGGGTCATGCTTTCCAAGTAGGGTTATTGAGATAGGCGACTCTGGGACAGAGACTCCAAGATAAGAGAGAGAAGGTATACTCGCCTGAGGGAAGACGGCCCCAGGTGGAGAAAACAGCACTGCAAAGGCCCCAAAGCCCACAAGTGCCTGGGGCGCTGGAGGAACAGCAGGTGTCTGGCGTGACTAGAGCAGGTGAATGAGGGTTAGAGAAGGACTGGAGGCCAGATAATGGAAAACCATGGGAACCATTAGAAAGGCTGGGACTTTCCTCCTGAATGCAATGGGCAGCCCTGAGAGAGCACCTGTCTGCTCAAAGAATCACCGGGCAGTTGTGTGGATTAAATCTGCAGAGAGATCACGTAAACCATCTTGGTCATAACATTTGTATTGTATTCTAGAAGTTAGGATTTCAAGACAGGAAGATGGGCCGGCATGGTGGTGGTGGGATCATTTTCAAAGCAGGAGAGCACAGCAGTAGATAGGTTAAGGATCTTTGGGAGACAAAGTGGTGCTGGAAATGGGACCTGCCACTAGATGGCAAGAGAGAACCAAGAACAAGCGCACGTAGCCCTCAGTCGGCTTATTTGCTCTCAGAGAGCGAGGCCTTGGCAGTGGGAAGAGCTCACTCCTTTGTTAAGGTGCCTAATCTTTGCAGGCTGAACTTCTGGATAGAGTGGTCTGCGCCTGCTGCTGTGGAAACGCAAGTGTTTGCAGATAAAATCTATGGTTTTGGTCTGTGGATCAAATGCATAACCCCAGGGGCCAGCCCTTGGCGTGGGAGGAGATGGGGGGAGGGAGGCTGTGAACTCCTTTGAATTCCCAGCCAGAGTCTCCCTTCCACTTCCCATTATCCTAGAATGAGATGTTTCCAAACCACGATTTGAACTGCCCTCTGCTCTTGTGTTTTCCTGTCATTATAATTACCCCAGTTTGTTCTTCAGCGCCATTATGCTAGGCTCTCCAGAAGGCTGCCTCGGTGCTGTGTGCAAGTGAAATAAACACGGCCCTACAATCGGGTCAAAGGGAAAAGAGGAAAGACTGAAGTCTGCACACAAAACTGAAGTAGAAGAGTTGCAACACCATCCCTACAACTCAGGCGACACCTCTGCTTTGTTGCCATTACTTGGCTCGGGAAGGTGATTTGGCTTGTGCCTCAGCCATTCGGCTTGCAAGATCTACTTGACTTTGCACTTGCTAGAATAATTTTGTGGCTTTATTTCATAGCATTTATGGGGCAAGAGAAAAGATGGAGGAAGGGGAACAAGGTCCGGAAGAACAAAAGGACTCAGGCTTCAGGCCAAGGACTGGCTACGGAGCTTGCAGAAGGGAAGAGAAGCAAAGGGGAGAGCTGGAGACAAAGTAGAGAGAGAGAAGGGAAGGGAGAGGCCCTCACAGGAGCAGCCTCCACCCCAGCCACTTTCTCACTCCATCGCCATCGCTCCTGCTGTCGGTCCAAGCTCTCTCTGGGCTGCTGCTGTGTGTTTAAGTTGGGACGGGCCTTGTGAAAATCCCAACTGTGCCAGGTGGACCTGTGCCTATGCTCCCCACGGGACAACAGCTGCTGTTTCCTCTTGCCTGCTTTAGGAGGGGGGGAGGGAGGGCAGAGAGGAGGCTGGGCCTGGATTGGTGCCCACCCTTCAGAGCCGAGCCTCCTCTCTCTCTCTTCCGGAGTTCCACACGGCCTCTGGATACCAATGGAAAGCCCATGAGACTCCCTGCAAGCAGGAGCAGGTCCAAGTTCTGTTATTCTAATGTAGTTGATCCTTGGACAAGTAAGAGGAATGGGCTCATTTGTGTAGATACACAGCAAGTTGGGGTCAGATGTGAGACTCGCCTCGGGTCTTTCGATTCCCATGACCTTTCCTGGAACAGCTGTGGATCTGGAGGAGGGAGCACTAACATAAGGTTGAAATCCTTGGCTCCCGGACCATTGTATTTAGAGAGCCAGGATGCAGGGGAGAGGAACCTGGTCTAGGGGTGAGAGCTCCACCAGGTCACCCTGTCTCCCAAGCCCTGGCCAGTTCCCCAGTACGTATAGAATAAAGTTTAAATTCCTTAGCCTGACACTCAGGCCTCCACAATTGGCAAAAGAGTCTTTCCAACTTTATCTCTGACTTTCTTGCACTGAGATGGCAACCAGATTGATGTTCTCCCTTTCCTCAGACATGTCTTTCAGTCTTCTTTATCTCCACTCAACCCCTCATTACCCATCTCAGGGCCCCCACATTGCCCTTCCCCCAGGAAAACTGCCTCTGAGTCTCAAGTCACAGAGATTATTCTACATTCCTCTACATTCCTAAAGCATTTGCTATCTTTAAGACATAATTTTGAATCATTATTTCTTCCTTTAGATGGGAGTACTTGAAAAAGTTCATGGAAGATTAGTATTATAAAAATCTATGCATGGTGGGGCTGGCACTGTGGTATAGTGGGTAAATCCCCATATGCATACTGGTTCATGTCCAATCCTTCCAATCCAGCTCCCTGCTAATGCACCTGGGAAAGCAGCAGAAGATGCCCCAAGTGTTTGGGATTCTGCTACCCACATGGGAGACTGGAAAGAAGCTCCTGGCTCCTGGCTTCAGATTGGCCCAGCTCCCGCCGTTGCAGCCATTTGGGGAGTGAACCAGCAGAAGGAAGATCTCTCTCTCTCTCTCTCTGTAACTCTGCCTTTCAAATAAATAAATCTTTAAAAAAAATCTATGCATGGGTTTCAAAAATTTTTCCAGCAAATAAAATTCTCTCTCTCTCTCTCTCTTTTTAATTTGAGTGGCAGAGAAACAGCAAGAGATGGAAAGAACGCCTATCCATTGATTCACTCCCCAAAAGCCAGTGATGGTCAGGTGTGGGCTGAGGCTGAAGTTGGGAGACAAGAATTCAATCCAGGTCTTCCACGTAGTGGTGTGTGGGGAATCAATTACTTGAGCAATCACTTCTGCTCCCTAGGGTCTGTACTAACAAGGAGCTGGAATCAGAAACTAGAGCTGGGTATCAAACCCAGGTACTCTGATGTGGGAGCCATACATCTTAACCAGCATCTTAACTGCTAGGCTAAGCAATTGGTATTTAATTTAGAATTAAGAGTTTAAATTGGAATTAAATTTAAATTTAATGTTTCATGAACTTTTTGAGCTACTCTAAATAATTGTTTTCCTCTAGCTTAGACTGTCAATTCCCAGAAGACTGGGATCACCCGTTATACTTCTTTTGCACCTTCCAAAGGACATAGCAGAGTGCCTTGCATGTAAGTGATCCTGATTCAAGCTCTAGATTAGAAGACATCTATTCCTCTCTTGAATAATCCCAGTCCCAGTTTGGCTCATTATCAACACACAGAGCTGGTTAGCAGATAGAGGAACTGACACAGCAGCTAAGGTTGAGATTGCTGAAGCAATCCTTTGGGTTCAAGGACAACCCAGAAATTGTCCATGACACAGTATGCTGTTTGAGCAATTTGCGTTGGACAGAGTCAAAAGTAATGCCACTGAAATCATGAGGACACATTTGGGGAAAGGTCTTGGGGCTCTTCTCAATCGTGGGGAATCATTCCTGCTGGTGCACCCCTCCCTGCAGCTAGTTGTTCTATAAATGCTTATCACTGGGCAGGGAAGGGAGAGAATGTAAAAATGATGGCATGCAGAGGGTTATCTTTACAAGAAAAATAACTCACAGTTATTGTTTCAATGGTGAACTATCAGTTACTTTTTTTTTTTTTTTAAGATTTATTTATTTATTTGAAAGTCAGAGTTACACAGAGAGGAGAGGCAGAGGGAAAGAGAAAGAGAAGTTTTTCCATCTAATAGTTCATTCCCCAGTTGGCTGCAATGGCCAGAACTGTGCCGATCTGAAGCCAAGAGCCAGGAGCTTCTTCCGGGTCTTCCACTTGGGTGCAGGGGCCCAAGGGCTTGGGCCATCTTCCACTGCTTTCCCAGGCCATAGCAGAGAGTTGGATCAGAAGTGGAGCAGCTGGGTCTCGAACCGGTGCCCATATGGGATGCCGGTGCTTCAGGCCAGGGTGTTAACTCACTGCGCCACAGTTCTGGCCCCTAGTTACTCCTTTTGCTGATAGGAGAACTAGCACCAAGACAATCAAAATCTGTTTAACAAAATTCTGGGGTAACTGATGTGATACAGTGGGTTAAGCCACTGCTTGGAATGCTCTCAACCCATATTTGAATGTCAGTTCTAGTCCTGAGTATTCTGCTTAGGATTCAACTCCCTGCTAAGTCACCTGGGAGGCAGCAGATAGTATTTGGTTTTCTGCCACCCATGTGGGAGACTTGGGAGGCATTCCTGGTTTCTGGTTTCAGCCTGGCCCAGCCTTGGCTGTTGTGAGCATTTGGGGAGTGAACCAGCAGATGGAAGGTTTCTCACTCCTACTGTCTCTCTCTGTAATGCTACCTTTCAAGCAAATAAATATTTAAAAATCTTTCTAGGAGCCAGCACTGTGGCATACCTGGCAAAGCTGCTGCCTGCAGTGCCGGCATCCCAAATAGGCACCAGTTTAAGTCCTGGCTGCCCCACTTCTGATCCAGCTCTCTGCTGTGGCCTGGGAAAGCAGTGGAAGATGGCCCAAGTCCTTGGGCCCCTGCACCCAAGTGGAAGACCCTGAAGAAGCTCCTGGCTCCTGGCTTCAGACTGGCACTGTGGTCATCTGGGGAGTGAACCAGTGGATGGAAGACCTTTCTCTCTCTCCCTGCCTCTGCCTCTCTGTAACTCTGCCTTTCAAATAAATAAATCTTAAAAATATAAATTTTAGATAACTCCTAATTCCTTTAAATACATAAGGTACAGGTAAGTCTGCTCTTATGTCATTTGACTATCTCGTTAACTAGACCAGTTCTTCTTAACCTCAGAACTGTTTGCATCTTTGTCTGGATAACTCTTTTTTGTGGGAACAATCCATACAGGATTTTACCACTATCCCTGGTAAACTCCAGTAACACCTCCTGATTGTAATGGCTAAAAATTGCTCCTGACATTACCGAACTGTCTCTGCTTGAGAACTGCTGAATTAGACTTGTGACCTTGAGCAAACTACTGACACTCTGGAACTTAGCTCCTTCATCTCCAGGCTGATTCTTGAACCTGCAAAGTCCAGTGGAAGGGAAATGAATCCCACAGACCCCAGGCCCTAGGAGCATAGGAAACCATGATAAGGATGTTGGAACAGAAGAAGATATCTTATGGGTCAGCACTTCCAGGACAGAATTTTATTTTAAAGTTTTTATTTTCACTTAATTTGAAAGAGAAACAAGGAAAGAGAGAGAGAGAGAGAGAGAGACAGACAGACAGACACATAGAAGTCTTCTATCCACCAGTTCACTATCCAAATGCTTGCAAAATTCAGGGCTGGGTCAGGCCGAAGTGAGGAACCTGGAACTCAGTCTGTGTCTCCCACGTGGGTGGCAGTAGCCAAGTACTTGAGCCATCATCTGCTACCTCCCAGGCTGTGCATTAGCAGAAAGCTGAATTGGGAGCAGAGCAGCTGGGGACTCCGGTAGAGGATACAGGCCTGCCAAGCAGCAACTTAAGCACTCTGTCCAACACTTACCCCTAGGATAGAACTTAGAGAGACGGGCACAGCGGGGCTCAAAGATCCCTCCCTCAGTCCTACTCAGCACTTTCCCTGGCTCTGCACCTAGCCTTTGTGTCAAATGTCTGTGTGCCAAATCCCAGGGGGAGTAAGTTTCATCTGGACTAGAATGATCTTATTCACCTTTGCATTTCCCCACAACAGTCGTCAAAGTGATTTGCAGATAGTATCTAACTATTTAAAAAATATGAAGATGAATGAATTCTAAGCCAGGAGTTAGAGGCGCCGTACCTTGGCAGAGCAGGGATGGGGCCTGGGTGGGGGTATTGCCCACAGGCCTATTTAGAGCATAAAAGAGGCTTTGCAGATGTCAAAAGTGAGTTGGTGTAGGACCTAATGGGGACATGCAGGATCTAGTTGTCCATTTATAAATTGTTAAATTATTAAAAGGCACTTTCATGCCTGTTGCCTCATTTTATTCTTGCAGCCTGATGAGGTAAGGAAGGTATTGTTCCATCTTACAGAAGAGAAAACAGAAGCTCAGAAGTCATCCAATAGTAAGTCCTGAACTTGCCCCTACAACGTGCTGTTCTACTCCTCTAGTCCATGCAGAGGCGAGTGGCAGTGGTAGGAGTGGTTCCGGGTGGTGAAGGGCAGTGGGAAATGAAGAGGAAGACCAAGAGGCACAAAAAGCCCCCTTTGTTTTCCCAGGGAAGTTGAAACTTTAAGGGACTAGCAAAGAGGTAGCATGATTCGTGGCTGGGACCACAACCTAGCTGACTTCCTCAAAGCAGAGTTGAGTCTGCCGGGCTCAGGCAGCACCCTGCACGGGCTTGTGCTCAGTGTTGTCCTGTCGGGCAGCCTGAAGGATGCACATGAGACCTGTGCTTGTGTGGGCTTTCTCCTCTCTTGCTTGTCTGTACACACTTTCTGGGAGGTCTTCCTTCCAGTAGCGGCTTCTCAGATGGGACCTCTGAGTGTCTATATGAACTAGACTGAGTGTCTCTACGAACTGGCACCATTGAATTGGTGGAGATAAGTGGGGGAGGGGGAGGAGCAGCAGCATTTCAGGTGGAGGAGACAGAACAAGCAGGGGCATGGAGGTGGGCTGGGGGCACAAGGTGGGAAGCAGGCAGGGATGTAGGTGCAGGTGCAGACATGCTGAGGAGTAAGACCATGAAAGGCCTTATGTCCTGGGACATGCAATTTGGACTATATCCTATAAGAAACAAGAAACTACTGCAGTTTTAGATAAGAAATGGGGCTACATTATTTTATCTGGTGGTTGTATGAGAGGTATATTCGAGTGAGCCTTACTCCAGTCAGAGAATGTGAAGTGTCCAGGAGAGAGGAGAGCCTGAGCAGAGGAAGAAGCAGGACTTGGAGAGGCGGGCATTTGGTGCCGCGGTTAAGACATCACTTGAGATGCCTGCATCATGTATGGGAGTTCCTGTGTTTGGGTCCTGGCTCCGTTTCCAGTTCTGGCTTCCTGCTAATGTGCATCCTTGAAAGGCAGCAGATGATAGATCAAGTACTTGGGTCTGGGTCATCCACGTGAGAGATCTGATTTGAGTTCCAGGCTCCTGGCTTTGGCCTGTCCCAGCCCTGGATGTTGTAGGCATTTCGGGAGTAAATCAGAAGGACCATCACTGTCTATCTCTATCTCTGCCTTTAAAATAAAATAAATAGGATTTGAAATAAGACTGCATAACTGAGGGATTCATCTGGATGATTCACAGTGTGCCGCACACGGGGTTAGAAACTCTTACTACATCTTCATGGATCTTCATACTACCAGGAGGTATGAAGTTCTACCCTCATGAACAGCAGAAAGGAAAGTTTTCCAGGGGTTTAGCTAACTTAGATGGATGGTAGACAGCACGCAAGCTGCAGAGCTGGGATTCAGTGCCCAGACTGTTTCAACCGAAAGCCTCAACATTGACCAGCAACAGTGATTCCTACTTTTGGTGGGTGAGAGATGTTGGGGGGTCTGGGATCACTCTTCAGGTTTCTCACAAAGGCAAGTGAGGAAACAGACCACACAGGAGGAGAAGCAAGTAGTGGGGAGGATGGATTCAGTCTGAGACCCCGGTTAGTGCTGTTCAAAGAGCCAGTTTAGGGTTCTTTGTCTCTCTGTGGCCCCACACTTTCTGCTCCTGAGCTACATAGTGGGCCTGGGAATGCCCAGGGTTCATGCCTCTGACTCTGTTTCCCATTCATTCTCCAGGGTGAGGGTGACCCAGCTCTCCCAAGAGGAAGTCCCAGCTCTGCACAATACCCTGAGGGAGAGCAGGTCTGAGCAACCTGTGGAAGTCATGGACTGGGGCTGGCAGGTGCCAGGGAGCAAGCTCTGTGGCTCCAATAAAGGGAGAGAAGTGAGTGTAAACGACAGGACCCTGGCCCTTTCCCTGGTGTGACAAACCGCCCAAAGACCAACCAATGGCAAGAATCTGATTTGGCCAGGCTCAGGCAGTCCACATGCCCTCTGGTCTAGGCTGTGTGGCCATGTTGAGGCTTCAGTCAGCATGTGCAGCTTTCTAGAACTGTCCTGACTCTCACAGGGCCTGATGTCACAGGTGAGGAGTGTTGGTGAGTGGGGTTGATGATGGGTCCTGTGGAGAGTCCATGGGGAGGCCTTCGATTGTCAGCCTGGTGCTTTGGTGGGCTAACACTTTCAGGCCTCTGTGGGCTCCACCTGTGTGTGGAGAGAGGGCGTGGTGGGCCCTCTGTTCTCAGAGGGTCGGGAAGGAGGCACTTTGTTCCTCAGAAACATAACAGCACTTTCCTTCTCACCTTGCCGCAGGCTCAGGGCCAATGGGCCAGAGAAAACATCAAAGGAAGCCCAGGAACTTAGGGACTTCTGGCAGGGATGTTGGAACCAAGTGTTCTCTTGACACCAGAGAGGAGACGACCAGACAACAATGTCTTTCCTCCCATTTTCCAACCCCCTCAGCACAGGTGCTCCACAGACTCAGTGGGACACTCCCTCCTCCCAGACTGGCCTTCATCCAGAAACCCTTCTAGCCTCATGTCACCTCTGGGGTGTCTTTGGTCTTGGGCAGAAGAGCTCTCCCACTCCCCCTCTCTCCCCCCCTGCCCCAGGCCAGCTGTCTTCAGCTCCTGTCCTTTAAATGGAGCCATCAGAGAATCATCAGCTCAGCCTGCTTCCTCTGTCCCCCTTGGGAAGATCTTCTCATCCAAGGACCAGTCAGACTTCTTTTTCTGCAAGTGTTGCAGCCCACAGACCTGGTAAGGTTGAGAGCCTGTAGCGGCCCAAGAGAGGAAAGCAATGGCTGAGGTGGCTGATGAGTTGGGTGGCTCTGGGCAGATGCCTCTTCCCTCTGGGTCATGAGAACTTGGGCAGGATGGTCTCTGAGGTACCATCCAGCTCTTCGAAGTCAGGGAGGGCTGGGCAACGCTGGAGACCCTGGGAAGGGGCAGCAGCCACTCTAGTCCCATCCTTGCCTCCAACCACCTTACCTTTGCCAGCAGGAGGAATGGCAGCAGCTGTGGCCCGGCTCCTTTTCTTCCAGCTTTTTCTAGGGCCAGCTCTTTCCCTGGACATCAATATGCAGTCTGACACCGAGAACTTCCGCACCTTATACATCGACTATCCCAAGGTTAAGTTCATAAAGAGCTTCCTGGGCTACTGTAATGGTATGATGGCCTATGTGAGGGGAAGAATAGAGCACTGGTACTGCCCAAAGATCCATTATGTGATACATGCCCCCTGGGATGCCATCCAGAAGTCCTGCAAGGACAGCAAGAGCTTCTGTGAGAACTACAACAAATACTGCACTCTGACCCAGGACTCCTTCCCTGTCACGGTCTGCAGCCTGGGCGCCAAACAGCCCCCCACAAGCTGCCGCTACAACAGCACCCTAACCAACAAACATCTGTACCTGCTCTGCTCTGGCAGGTATGATGCTGAACCAATTGGTATCATAGGCCTCTACTAGGGAATCTAATTCCCAAATCCTCCAGCCCCCACCACTATAGGCCAGCCTGTCTCCATTTCTAAAACTGTGATCCCTGTAGCGAGACTTTCTCCCTGACTTCCAAGGCAGGCGGGACTCTCTCACAAAAGGTCAGGTAGATAGGAAGATGTCCAGAGCTTTGATCAATGTGCGAAGCCCTAACTCTCATCCAGGGTCTTTCCAACTTGTTTACCATGCTCTCACCACCCCCACTACTACCCCTCTTCTCCTAGAGACAGTAAAACCCACCCAAGAAGCTCACTGTGTCCAGTTGGCAGTAACTGTCCTTTCACTGGGCCAGATCCTGAATCCTGGGACAGAGGCCCAGGGCCACAGCTCACACCATGGCAACAGGCACCCAGCTCCTCATCTCATTTCCCCATCCCCACTGCCTTGCTGCTCTCTGTCGTCTCCACTTCCCCTTAACCCTGCACTCGCTCACCTGCACAGTGAGTGTCTCTAGCTGCAGCCACCTCCTGAGACCTGCACACTCCCTGCAGCCTCACTCCCCAGCCCCCGGCCCCCGGCCCCGCTGCAGCCTGCTCCTCTCTGTGACAACATTGATCCTCCCTTACTGGAACTGTCCTTTCTTCCCTCCTTCTTCCACAGTGACCACTGCTGTCTTCCCCCCAAGTTTAGCTGTCCTGTCTTCCTTCCTTTTTCTACCTTCTCCATCCATCTTTCTTACCTTGACTCATATGAATGTCAAGCTATCTTCTATCATCCTGTCATTCATTCTCCAAAGGTTTCTGCTCCCTTTCCTTCCCGTAGCTCCTTCTAGCATCACCCAAACTCCAGGGTCTGCCACTGACAAGGCAGAGGACAAAGGCCCATCCCCAGTCACGCAAAGCTTTAAGTTATTTAAGGTGTAACCACTGGGGGAAACTGTGAGGAGGGTGTACCATATTTCACAACTTCCTGTGAACCTATAACCACTTCAAAATAAAAAGTTAAAAGCATATCGACTGAGTTCTGATTTAATTCCCTTTTCCTTACTGTGCCAGAACTCCTGCTCCCAGAGTCCTGGTGGCCACCACTTCTGACCATCTCTCTGGGCTACCCTAGCAGTGTTCGAAACTCACATCTGTGAGTACCATGTTGGAAGTGAGGTGGGGAAGAACTCAATTTTGGGTTGGGTGTTAACATGGATTGTGCCTTCACCCCTGCTCAAAACCAAATTCACAACAGGATTCAGGACACCCTAGCTGGGTTCTTTGTCTTACTCAGCAAAATCAACATTGCAACGAGGAAGGTGGGGACTGGGAAGGAGCTCCTGGTGGCATCTGGGTCACAGTTTGTCAAATCAAGACATACTACTCCAGGCCAGCGCCGCTGCTCAATAGGCTAATCCTCCGCCTGCGGCACCGGCACACCGGGTTCTAGTCCCGGTCAGGGCGCCGGATTCTGTCCTGGTTGCTCCTCTTCCAGTCCAGCTCTCTGCTGTGGCCCGGGAGTGCAGTGGAGGATGGCCCAAGTGCTTGGGCCCTGCACCTGCATGGGAGACCAGGAGAAGCACCTGGCTCCTGGCTTCGGATCAGCGTGGTGCGCTGGCCGCAGCAGCCATTGTGGGGTGAACCAACGGTAAAGGAAGACCTTTCTCTACTTCTCTTTCTCTCACTGTCCACTCTGCCTGTCCAAAAAAAAAAAAAATATAACATGGAGAAAGACTGCTACTCCATTGGGGAGTAGATTGGGGAGGTAGAGGCAGGTGGATACCAGGATGCATGTGCACAAGTAGCACATAGTTTCACTTCCACATTTGGTTCATCTCCTACCTAGAAATACACTCCTTAGCCCAATTCTTACAAGTATTTGTTGAACTCAGGGCTATAGGCACGAGGCTAAGCAAGGTGAAGGGCATATGGCAGAAAACCCTGGCTTCACGGACATTCTCTTCTCCTTTTCACAACACCAGTGGGCCTGCCTATCCCTCACCTATTAGACAGAGCCCATCAGCTGATGCACACACAGATGTTTATTGTCTCCCATGCTCCCTGGTGTTAAAGATGCAGGGTCAGGGGGCTGGCAGGCTAGGACGAGGCTTGTCTTCACTTCTTCTTATCATAGGTGCCAGCACCCTTGTAGCCACTCACATAGCCTGAGTTGTCAGTTGTCTCTTCGCGTCCTGCAATGCCCTTGCCCTTGCCACTCTCATCAAAGCGCTCCTTGTGGGTGCCGGTGTACTTGCTGGTGTCTGTCAGACGATCTACTCCACCCACCGTGGTTGCTTTCTGCAAGCCAGAGAATGGGTTTGAGCCCTCTTCCTTCCCCCAGATGACCTGAGAGCCTCCGATCAAGTGTTTGCAGCTCTTGCGCTGCCTCTGGCACTGTGCTGCTTTCTCAGGGCAGGAACTCTGGCAAGAGCTGCTCACCCGCGAGGGAGGAGCTTTCTGGCCTGGGAACGTGTGCAGTGTGTGGGGCAGGAGAGCACCTTTTTCTGTTTCAGGAGGGGTCATTCTGACCAGGCAGCTGCCCAGAGGCCTTCACCCCAAGCTTAATATGCAGAGAAGAAAGTACAGAGGGGACAATTAAGGAAGAAGGTGGACGAGAGGTGGCGTCAACCTTCAATAATGGCAGCAGGATGAGTGGTGACCAGGTACCAAGTGCTCTACAGGAATGGCCACCAGGAGCCACCATACCCTAGCTGTCTGGCTCAGATACTGGCGACTTGGGAATGCGTCTGGATTTCACTATTTATATAGTCAGCAAGCTCCCATCCACTGGTTCACTCTCTAAGTGCACCATGGCAGGGCTGGGAGCAGGGAACTCAATCTACATCTAGCTGGACAGGAACCCAACTACTTGAGCCACCATTTCCTTCTCAGGTCTGCATTAGCAGGAAGTTAGAGTCAGGGGCAGGGCTGGGTATCAAATGCAGGAACTTGTACGTGGGATGCACTTGTCCTTAAGGGATGTCTCAACTGCTAGGCCAAATGCCTGTCTCTAAAATGGCTAAGCACCTTGGGCAAGTCACTTCCTCTCTTGGCCACATTTTCCTCACCTCTGAAAGACCTGTTCCAATGCAGAATTTCTGCCCTGTCTCCCCATAGTTATATTGTTGGCAGGGTTAGGGACACTCGAGGGTGGGGGGGTGGTGGTGGTGCCTGAAGCAGAAGGGAGTTAGGGAAGTAGGATCCAGGCCAGGGATGAAGGACGTCACTCACGGTCACTCCAGTGGTGGCCGGATCCTTGCCCTCCATGAGCTTATGAATGTTCTCCAGGGCTTCGTCTGGGTTTTTCCCCTTGAACCGCTTCTGGCCCAGTTCTTTCATTGCCTCTTGGAACTGTGAAAATGTGATGGTTCGGGCATTCTTGGCTCTGGTCAGACAGAAATCCAGGAACTTTGGAGCATGAACTCATTTTCTTTCAAGTTATAATCTTTCTTTTACTCAGATTTCGCCTCTCCTGTCCTATCACTGAGTTTCTTGAGGGCCAGGGGCCCAGTAGGTGTTCAGTAGGCCCAGGCAAAGGTGCCACCACATGAACCCTTCCACAACCAACTACCCTGCTTGTTCTACTCCTCCCTGCAACCCCATCTCTGCTGCTTACTTGACTTTGCTGAACACGATGTCCACATCCGTGGAGGTCACTGCCTTGCCGTCCATGATGCCACAGTCTTTGCAGAGCTTGGCGAAGTTCTTGTTGTTCATTTCAGTGCCACTGCTGGACGAGTCTCCGAAGACAGCAAACCGCTGGAATGTTTTCTCTGCCTCTGATGCCATGGTCAGCTGGGGATGGGGTAGTGTGGCAGCGGGGCAACCTCAGGGGACAGGGACGAGGGGAAGGGAGGACTGAGAAGTAATGGGAATGGGGGTTAATATAAAAATAGCCGGCGATAAGAACAACTCCCCTCCTTCTTGGTGTTTGCTCCCCCATCCCCCTCACTCCCATCCCACCTACCCAGCTACCGCATGAATCCACCAGTCCCAGTACTGCGGATACTAGTGTGGATCCTACCAACTGAATAACTGTTCCCTTCCCCATTTCTTTCCTGTACCCAGCAGTGCCCAGATGATGTCTGACCCTTCCCAACCTTTGTGTGTGCAGCTGTGCAGGGGCTGCTGGCAGAAGACTATATGGTGAGGTGTGGGAGGGGTGACAGAAAGAGGCAAGGAGGAAAGTGTCTATGACCTCAGCAGTGTCTATGTGACATCACTTCTTGTCCCTGTGTATAGCCCTTGTGTCTAGAGGGGAGGGCTTCTGGTCTCTCAGCCCTGTGTGTTGATGCGCGCAGGCCACCACCAACCTTCTATCCCTGTAGGCTGATCACATTGCTTCACTTCTTCCCAGTTCACCGACCCTCTGGGTTCTGGTCAAACAGCCTTGTGCTCTCCCCATAACAAAAGCTGAGGAAAGCTCAGGGAAGATGTCTTCGTCTGTCTGGAGTGCTATAAAATATAATGAACTAGGTGGTTTACAAACAGCAGGAATTCATTTCTCATAGTTCTGGAGTCCCAGAAGGCTAAGATGAAGGCACAGGCAGATCCCATGTCTGGTGAAGGCTGCTTCCTGGTTCACAGGTGGCACCTTCCCATTGTGTCCTTAAATGGTGGGGTGAAGGGGTGATGGGCTCTCTTGAAATTATTTATTTATTTAAAGATTTTATATATCATTTTGAGAGGTAGAGTTACAGAGAGAGGGAGAGACAGAAAGATCTTCCATCCACTGGTTCACTCCCCAGGTGGCCGCAACAGCTGGAGCTGAGCCGATCCAAAGCCAGGAGCTTCTTCCTGGTCTCCACCATGAGTGCAGGGGCCCAAGGACTTGGGTCATCTTCAATTGTTTTCCCAGGCCATAGCAGAGAGCTGGATCAGAAGAGGAGCAGCTGGGACTAGAACTGGTGCCCAAATGGGATTCTGGTGATGCAGGAGGAGGCTAAGCCCACTATACCACAGCACCAGCCCAATTATTTATTTTTAAAAGATTCATTTATTGGGGCTGGGATTGTGGTGCATTAGGTTAAGCCTCTGCCTGTGGTGTTGGCACTCCATATGGGTGCTGGTTCATATCCTGGCTGCTCCACTTCTGATCCAGCTTCCTGCTAATGCACCTGGGAAAGCAGTGGAAGATGGCGCGTGTCCTTGGGCCCCTGCACCCACGTGGGAGACCTGGAGGAAGCTCCTGGCTCCTGACTTCGAATTGGCCCAGCTCCAGTCTTTGCAGCCATTTTGGGGGTGAGCCAGCAGAAGGAAGTCTTTCTGTCTTTCACTCTCTCTGTCTGTAACTCTGCTTCTCAAATAATAAAATCTTTTTTAAAAGATTGATTGATTTATTTGAAAGGTAGAGTTACAGAGAGAGAGGGAGAGACAGAGAAAGATCTATCTGCTGGTTCACTCCCCAAATGGCCACAACGGCTGGGGCTGGGCCAGGCTGAAGCCAGGAGCCAGGAGCTTCTTCTAGGTCTCCCACATGAGTAGCAAGGGCCATCTTACGCTGTTTCCCCAAGAGCTTTAACATGGAGCTGGATCAGAAGTGGAGCATAAGGGACTTGAACTGGCACCCAAATTGGATTCCGGCATCAGAGGTGGTGGCTTAACATGCTATGCTACAACTCCAGCCCCTATTTATTTCTTTTAAAATGTATTTATATTTGAGGGTGAAAGGGGAGAGGGAGAGGGAGAGGGAGAGGGAGAGGGAGAGAGAGAGAGAGAGAGAGATAAAGCTCCCATCCACTGTTTCACTCCCCAAATCCATACAATGGCTGGGGCTGTTCCAGGCCAAAACCAGGAACTGTAACTCAAGTGAAGTCTCTCTGTGAGCCAGGAACCCAACCACTAGAGCCATCATCTCCTGTATCCCAGGGTGCACACTAGTGAGAAGCTGGAATTGGGAGTGCAGCCAGGACTTGAACCCAGGCTCTCTGATATGGGTTGTGGGCATTCCAAGTGGCATCTTAATTTAGGCCAAACACCTGCCCTTCCCTTGGACTGACTTTGAAAGGCTCTGTCCTGAAACCTAGTCATGACTCCCCAATGGCCCCACTCCCTAACAACATCACCTTGGATGCATTTGGTGGTGGGAGAAACGTAAACACCGAGGCCATATAGAAAGGGTTCATGAAAACAGTCTGGCTCTGTCCAGCACTGCCCCTGTTTCCAGCCTGAAGTCTCCCGTATAGTATAGTGAGCTGCATGAGTTCTGGAAAACCGATCTTGATAGGAGCTTTTAATGGCTTCCAATGCTGGACTCGATACAGGAAAAGCAGGTGCCCTGGAAGAGAGCAGATCTGGCAGGTCAGAGTGAGGGTGAATATTAGACTCTGAAAATCTTCCAGGTAAGTTTCCACGCGGGTCAAAGAAGTTTCTCAGGGGCTTCCTTTTTTAGCCTTTCCTCTGGCTACAAGCCCCATAGATAGATGAACTTTGGGGATCTTAATGGTAACTTACCCCTCCCCCCTTCTCATTTAATCAGTCACCAATTTCTGTAGCGTTTTTTACCCCTGTCTTCCAAATCAATTCCTTTCTTTCCATTCCTGTTACTTCCATCCTTATTTAAGTCCATATCATTTCATACCTGGATGACTACCTTAGCGTTTAAATGACCCCTTTCTTTAAAATGTTTTGAAAATTTTATTTGAAAGAGAGAGAGAGATGGAATTTCCATCTGTTGGTTCACTCCCTAAAGGTTTGCAATAGTCAAGAATGGGCAAGACTGAAGCCAGGAGCCAATAACTCCATCTGGACCTCCCATGCGGGTGACAGGGGCCCAAGCATTTGAGCCATCATCTTCTGCCTACTAGGGTCGGCCTCAGCAGGAAACTGAACTCGGAAGTACAGGTGGGACATGAACCCAGGCACTCTGAAATAGGATGTTGGTGTTCCAAGTTGCATCCTTTTTTTAAAATAATTATTTATTTATTTATTTGAGAGGTTGGCGGGGGGGGATCTTCCATCTGCTAGTTCACTCCTCAGATGGCTGTCACTACTGGAGCTGAGTCAATCTGAAGCCAGGAGCCTGGAGTTTCTTCCAGGCCTCCCACGTGGGTACAGAGGCCCAAGGACTTGGTTCATCTTCCACTGCTTTCCCAGGCTGTAGCAGAGAGCTGGACCAGAAGTGGAGCAGTCAGGACTCGAACTGGCACCCACATGGGATGCTGGCGCTGCAGGCCACGGCTTTACCTGCTATCCATAGGGCCTGCTCCTATGTGGCAGCCTTTTTTTCCCCCTACACTACTTCTGAGCTCAGGACGAGAGCCAGTCAAGCAGGTCTTTCCTTCTTTTTTTCTTTGATTGACTGATTTATTGAAAGGCAGTTAGAGGGGGAGAGAGTGAGTGTGAGAGAGACCTTCCATCAATTGGTTCATTCCCCAAAGGGCCACAACTGTCAAAGCTGGGCTGATCTGAAGCCAGAAGCTTCTTCTGGGTTTCCCATGTGGGTGCACGGGCCTCAGTACTTGGGCCATCTGCTGCTGCTTTCCTATGCACATTAGCAGGGAACTGGATTTGAAGTGGAGCAGCCAGGACTTGAACCAGCGCCTATACGGGATTCCAGTCTGCAGCTCCTGGCTTTACCTGCTATATAGCAGCAACCCCCTCCCCAAGCGGCATCTTAACTGCTGCATCAAAAGCTTACCCCTAAATGATCGCTTTTTTTTTTTTTTTTGACAGATAGAGTTAGACAGTGAGAGAGAGAGACAGAAAGGTCTTCTTTCCGTTGGTTCACCCCCTAAATGGCCGCTATGGCCGGCACTGCACCGATCCAAAGCCAGGAGCTAGGTGCTTCCTCCTGGTCTCCCATGCAGGTGCAGGGCCCAAGCACTTGGGCCATCCTCCACTGCCTTCCCGGGCCACAGCAGAGAGCTGGCCTGGAAGAGGAGCAAGTGGGACTAGAACCCGGCGCCCATATGGGATGCTGGCACCTCAGGCAGAGGATTAACCAAGTGAGCCACAGTGCCAGCCCCAATGATCCCTTCCTTAAATCTAATGCTTCTCGCCTCACTCCCATCCATCTCACAATCCATCTCTACTATCTTCTCCCCATCAGGTTAGTTTTTAGAAGCAGTGCTCCTACCCTTCACTTATGCTCAAGAATATTCTATGGCTCTTCAACCGCCAAACTTTTTTCCCCTAGCATTTAAAGACCCACACAATTTGGCTCCAATCTAGCTTACCAAACATCAGCCACCTATCACCAACTTTATTCTTCAACTACGGTCATAATGATCTAATTGTGACCTTGAGGTGGAAGGAGCAGCAAGGATCTGGGTGGGGATTTGAATCCTGAGTTTGTCATTTATTAGTTGGGTGGCCTTGTGCAAGTCAGTAAACATCTCTGAACTTCAGTTTCCTGGTCTGCAGCGTGAGGACAGTAACATTTACATTACTGTGTTTGGGGATAATATCTGGGACACGCCTTGTACATAACGCCTACTATTCGATCCTTCAAAGTAACTTGTCTACCCCGCCTCCAGACTCTCCCTTAAGCTCTGTCTAGAGAGAAGTCCCCCTCTCCCACTGAGATATTCTATGGCTGCAGTAGGGACAAAACCCTTTCCCTCTTCTGAATTACAGTGAGACAATGATTCTTAACCTATGGGCTGCAGCCGCCTGGAGTGAGAATTTCTGAAGTATTGCAAGGTGCCCTGGCGTCTGTCTGTATAAAGAAGCCTGAGCAGGAACTGAGTAAACAGTGTGCTTCGCACATTAGAGGTACCACCACCACCTGTACAGCAGTGGTGATGACCAGAAACCTGGACGAAAGTGTTTGCAAGTATTTCTCTTTTCTCCAACCAGGCATATTGAAACCATCAGGTGGGAACAGAAATTACTGATCTCCACTTGAGAAAGATGGGAAACACTGCTACAGGACTGTCTAAACAACTGCTTTTGTATAAACTCACACAATTTTCTTAACTTTTTCTGTTTCTACCTTCTCCCTACAACACAATCATAAATTTCTGTCGAGGGTGTGACCAGATTTCCCAGTTCTTTGACTTTGCCGTGCGCAGCACCTTGCACGGAGCAGGTACTTAAGACTGCAACTTAGTTGAAGGTGTAGTTTGAAGCTGCTCCTGGGCTAAGGGAAGGAGGTTAGGGGCAAACTGTTCTTG